GAAAATATAGATGTTTGAATCAACATTTTTTGCCTTTTAAAATTATTTTTACAAAATATTTTTAAAGATGCTAACGGCTTTCCACAATCGTTAAGTCCAACTTAGAGAAAAGTTCAACTTAGGATCTTTGTGAAACACTCCCCAAGTCATTTAGGAGCTTATCGTAGGCAGTTATAAAGGAAATCTTATTTCAAATAGTTTATCGATATTATGGTTATTATTATTATTTTTTTTTTTTTAAATATTATTTTTGAGGGGGGAGCCTTTTGTCTCCTTTTTCCTCTTTTAACTCCTTTTTCTTTCTTTTTTCTTCCATCGCTCGCCCCGTTTTTAGGCTGCCAAAATTGTGTTGGTGGGGGGGGGGGGGGGGGGGGGCGATGGGTTTCTGATTTGGCCTCCAATTGAATCCGCCGCTGTTTTCTTTTTTCTCCCGATGATCATGATCATAATCATCAATCTTAGTTTTGAGCCGACCTTAAAAACTGTTATTGGGCAAAAAAGCCTGTTGGATACTCAGTGATGTGATGTGGAAAAGCACCAAGCAAAAATGAATATAAAAAAACTAAACTGCTGTGTGAAATTGCATAGGTAAATATCTGCTGTTAAAACGGTCACAAATAAATAGCCGATCAAATCTTGATTTAACATTTTTGCGATATACTTCCCGATTTTCAAAGTTATTATAAACGGCGTACAGAGGTCAACCCATTTAAACTGTCAAGATCTTTAGCAAACATTTCATTATTTACTCACATATTTCTGTTTGCTATGATTTTTCTCCCCCTTTGTTCTTTTCCTAAATTTAATCAATATCATGAATAAATTACTCGGATATTTTAAGATGCATAAAATGTGGGAAAATGGTCAGGTCAAACAAGTCTAGGGGCGCTTGTTATGGGTACGCCTAAGTCAGAGAATAAAGGCGTGTTCAAATGTGGCACGGTAAACCGCCGCAGAAACACAGCCGAAGTTTTTTTTAACGTGTAAATAGCGAGCTTTAGATTCTGACACCGAACGACCTCTATTACGAGTGACGTCATTTTGAGGAATTGCGCGTGCGCCATCTGCTTCTGGCATGTGAATTGACACAACGGGAATCGGGCAAATTTAGGCCTAACTTGAAGTGATCACAACGACTACGAGTTGGACACAAATGCCGAAGCCAGCCATGAAGACTACAGTATATTGTGAGACTATAATTCGAGAAGATATGTGACTGCAATGAAAACAACAAATATCTATTAATTTGATCATTCACGTTTCTTCAACCTATTTAATTTCACTATTTTGACGAAATTAGGAAGTTTTCTGCACAGCTGACCTTCGAACAGCTGTGCAGACGTACCGATATCTACAATCCGATATCGATATGGCGTAACATACCAAATTTGTCGCGCGAGACAAACGAATATCACTGCGCATGCGTTTAAACATTGGCACCGCGTCGTGTGACAATCTAAAGCGCTAGCAAGAGAGGCCTAACGATGATTCAACGACGAGCATGTAACAATGACGTCACTCGTAGTCGAGGTCGTTTGGTGTCAGAATCTAAAGCTCGCTAATGAATGGTAACTGCGTGAAACAAAGGACTTGAACGTACTTGCTGAGCTCTGTGCTTCATGTATTTAAACATATTTGGTTTAGAGAAATACATGTTACGTCATAAACAAAAACAACAACAACTTACTGCGAACTTGCCGTGTCATATCTGAATGAGCCTAAAGCCCCCATCACACCAAACTAGTTCTTACTACGTTCTCGAAAATGTTGCCAAACGGGCTCAAACTGTGTGCGAACGGAGTTGAACGTAATAGCAACTGTTTGCGACCTGTTTAAGGACTATATGGAAGGGCTTGGACTGGACCAATGTCTCTAATACGATCCTATTTCGTTCATTAACAGTCCACAATACGTCCAACTCGTCTGTACCCGTCCACAGTCAGTTCATATCAAGTTCAGATCGGATAAATTTGATATTTACAAGCAGTCCAAACCATTATTACTAGTTCGGAACTTGTTCTAACTAGTTTATAACCCAACCACCCCGTTCAGAGACAGTTCAACTCGTCCTCATCTTGTTCTTAGTGCGTTCGAACGCGCTTCTATCGTGCTTTGCAATCCCGTCTTGGTTTGAGGGCTATACAAACCCATCGCGTTCTTCTTAATTGATGCTCGACCACATCACGTGGTAACACGTTCCTAGTAGGATCGAAGTACGGCAATTCCGTTAATAGTACGGCAATTCCGTTCGTTATACGTCCATCTCGTTTTAAGTACGTTGTCACTCCGTCCAATTGCAGGACGGGGAGAATTTTGAACAGGCTCAAAGTTCTAGACCACCCGTCCCTTCCAATCCAGTCCGAGCCCGTCCATGAAGTCCTTAAAAAGATCGTAAATAGTTGCTAATACGTTCACTCCGTTCACGCACAGTTTGAGCCCGTTTGGCAACATTTTCCAGAACGTAGTGAGAACTAGTTTGGTTTGATAGGTGCTTGACTTGAACGTCTTGATCTGCGAAGCCTAAAGCGTAGAAGTTGAACGGGAATGAGGAATGGCGAGAACGCTCTGGGTTTTTTTCACTCCCGAGTCAGGACGTCATGATTGCACACGCTCTAGGAGCGCGTTCGAACGCCCTCAGAACGAGATGAGAAAGAGTTGAACTGCTTCTGAACGGGGTGGTCGGGTTAAAAACTAGTTAGAACAAGTGGCGAACTAGTTAGAATGGGTTTGGACGTATTGGGAACGAGGTAGAACTAGTTAATAATGGGTTTAAACTGACTACGGCCTGGCTTGGACTGCCTAATCTACCCGATCTGAACTTAATATGAACTGGCTGTGGACGGGGAACAAACGAGATGGATGTAATGAGGACTGTTTACGAACGAACTTGGATCGTATTATAGACATTTTTACACATTCTGCCCCGACCACAACCCGTTTTAAGATTTTCTAGGACGGTTCCAGAACGTAGTGATAACTAGTTTGGTGTGATGGGGGCTTAAACTCGTCAAATACAAAATGGGAAAGGACGGAAGCAGAGTGGGTGGAACGAAAAAGAGAGAGAGAGAGAGAGAAAGAAAGAGGAGGCTGGAAACCGAGGAACTGAGAGTAAAAATGTGGTGGAGAAGGAAGAGGAAGAGGAGGAGGAGTGTGTGTGTGTGTGTGTGTGTGTGAGAGAGAGAGAGAGAAGAGAGAGAGAGAGGGTATATGGAAACATAGATGAATATAGAAGGGGTAAAGCGCGTGAGGATATGGGATGTATAGGGGTGTGGGACACCTTATTCCTAATCATTCCCTCTCAGTGGCGGATCCAGGCCCCCCCTCCCCCGCTTATTCAGCGGCTGGCTGAGTCGTTGCGATTTTTTTGGGACTAAAAAAAAACACATATATATAATGTTCTCTTTCCCACACGGTGCCCCCCGTGTGCCCCCCCCCCCCCCCCCCCGGTAAGAAATTCCTGGATCCGCGCCTGCCTCTGTCATGTCTGACGGTAGATTAACAAAAGTCAATGGACCAAATTGATTGCAATTTTGGATGCAATGTCTTTCTTTTTTGTTTTACTGATCATTATTCTGTTATTTGTTTCACTCAGTGAAATGAATATTCTGGACAATCATGGACAAGGTATACACATAATTGTTTACAATAAAGAAGTATACTTATCTTCATCATAACGTACCACTGGATAATGGATACATTACAGAACTACATAAAAGTAACACATCATAATTATTGGAAACATCACTTCACTTGAATTAAATAATGTATAACTGAAATTAGAGGTTCAATACAACTTTCTTCTTTCCACTTTCTGTTAACTGTGTAATATTACCACCGGCACCTACCCCTCTCCCCTCCCTCGATCCAAATGGTCTTAATCGTTTAATCGTAGTTAATCGTACCATACTAGTCTGCCGTTACTACGATTCTGAGCTGATTTTGCTTGTTTTCTCCTCCAATGAAACTTGATATCTCTTGAAATCTAGATTTCGTTAATCATACGACTACTAACATCCTCGATTATTAATATTTTTACATGTTTGAATATTCATATCAAATGCTATGGCAAAGTCTTTCGAAATCGGATCGTAATCAGATCGTATAGTGTGCTTACCGCTCAAGAAACCTACTGCAGATATAACATATGATTTCTAGGAATTACCACCATGGGCAATCCCCCCGGTCGATAACACGCGGGACAATTATCTCCAAGGACAATCCCCCCCCCCCGAGAAATACCCCTCCCCCAGAGACAACCACCCTCCAGGAAATTTATCCCCCAGAATATACCCCCTAGGACAATTATCTCCTGTGAACGATTACCCCCCGATGACAACTATACCCTTTTATCGAAACCAAATAGTTATAAGGGTAAACTTCCCCTTTAATTGTCCAGAACGGGGGGGGGGGGGAGAGATAATTGTCCCAGGGGGTAATGGCCGATTTTTTCGTCACTTATCGATCTTTTTGGAATTTTTTGGCGGTGCTAATGCATATTCATAACGACTTTGGTGCTAGCATTGTTTGCTCTTTGCCATTTTAAAAGTTTAACTCTTTTATCCCCTTATCAATGCTCTATAATATTTCAAAACAAACAATAGATAATTATGAATCTTAATAAATAGTCTTTAATGTTACATGTCATGCCCTTTGAACGGCCGAGCCAGGTAAACATCCATGTAAGCGGTCTTATGCATATACATATAACTTTTGTAGGATATTATCAACTCAACAAACATAATACGTAATACCCCTGTCATACCAACGAAACCAACATCAAATCATCGACAACAGACCAAAGCAAGAATGACACTACCGCCCATGGTTAAGAATTGGTCGGTTTTGCTTCAGTTTGGATTCGGTTTGGCGTTGTGACTGAGGCAATAATCAGAATGAACCAGGAAGCAATATGCAATAAATATATTCCTAATTCAAAGGAGAGAAATATTAAGTAATCAAATCGGATGATACAACACACATGTTTAGAGATGACGGGAACACTCCACTTGGCTTGCTTGTAAATTGTTATTACGGTCTTTAGTTGATGGTTTAGTGTTTTCTTTGTTATGAAAGATTGATATGAATATGCGTGGAATATCTTTACACTGGTTTATCTTCTTGCAAGTCACACTCATAGGACAATTAACATGTGGTAAGTAGTTCTGATTTTCCATGTATAATTTGTGTTAAGTTTTTTCTAATTTGTAAGGGTGCGGGGTAACTTCCTGCGGTCACATTGCCCCTCTCCCCGCCCCGACCTATTAATCTACAAAATATGTATTATCTATTTAATCTTTTCGTTCGCTTTTATTCCCACAGTAAGCAATATGAAATGCAAAATATATAAATTCGTTTATAGTTAACATTAACAGTCTTTTCGACTGTATTAGCGCAAAACTTAACAAAGTCGTTGGGAAACGTAGCATACAACTATCGCTTTTTAGCCCGTCTCTTTGTTTCAAACGAATGATTCAATATTGGTTTCAATGTTTCATTTTCCATCTGATAAAGAATCTAGTACACTATTACAAGTGAATCATTGGATAGGTGAAGGGGAAACATATCAATCAAATGTTTATATTTTTTAATCAATACCCTTCCTTGTTGCTGACACGGTCCTTCAATCACAATAGGGATGCTTTACCAAAAACAAAATTCTGAAAATGTTTTATATTTCTGTACAAACATTGGCGAGCATAAATGGTGCATAAGAAAGGGGGACAAGGTGAAGTAACATGTTACTTCGCAACAGCAGTCGTTTTCAGCAATTAGGAAAAAATGTAAGATTTATCATTGCCATGGCCATTAAAGGGGTAAATAGATAGAAAGAGAGACACAGAGGGAGACACAGTCTGGAAAGAGAGGGTACGGAATAGTTTGAAAAGGTTAGAAGAGTGCGTATATGTGACAACAAAATTAAAGGTAGAGAGATATATATATATATATATATATATATAGAGGGAGGGGTTTGAGAAAAAAAAGGAAATGCTTTAAATTGTTTTCAATTTTTAGCAATATTTGATGAATTGACATAGATGTCCGTTAGTCGCTTACATATACAAGGGAGTACTGGTGGTTAGATTACTCGCCGCTGTGAAAGAAACTGTTAACAAAAACTGTACATTGGATAAAAGTTGAACTTAGTAGGCCTACACAAGGATGTTATGGAATAACCGAAAGTCACATACATGGTACAACACAATGGGAACATGGGACTACACACAACAGTTGATAGTACTCAACCTTCTTTTCAATATACAATCATTCCTTAATATTCATCTCCTTTCTAGACAACTAGTATTAAAGGGATAGTTGAGTTCTGTTTTCCGATCGCAAATGCCTTCAAAGTGCGTGGTTATTTCTCTTATTCTTATCTATATATGACATTTTTAGTGCTCTTTTAGGACCTAAAATTGCTAAGAGGGTAATTTTAAACCCCAAAATGTGTGATATTTAGCCAATACGATCATACCAATTCAGCTCCACTTAAAAACAATACGGTGACCGTTATAATAATAACAATACATGGTCCGGATGATCGTGCGTAATATAACCAACACGAACAAGCCACCTAAAAGCCAACATCGGCATTGGCTGAAATACAACGTAATAGGTTTTTTTTTGTTTTTTCAACGGCTTTCAACGGGTGGTTTAAATTATCAAATATTTGTGGTGGTACACAAGTATTCGAAATCGTTATATTTATGGATATTTCAGCCGTCTTTAAACTGGTTTTGATCAAACAAAGATGATTTTGTCATTTAAATTGTATGTTCTTTCAAATTTGACAGTCAGTTTGTCATTATCTCACAAAAAATATTTTGTGTAGCGCCATCTGCAACAGAACTCCACTATCCCTTTAAGTTATTACGTGACTACTCTCCGGTCTCCGGTACTAAACAGTCACTCACTTTCGATATTAGTGTGTGTTTGGTCGAATGGTTTAAGTGATTGTTTTACAAGACTGGTACTATTATAGTAATAGTCGATGTTGCATAGCGCTTAATACTACGTTTCTAAGCGCTTTCCACTTTGATCATTTACGCCGGTCCATGGACACAATATACACACAACACACTCACAAACTCATACACAAAGATCGTTTAAACACTTTTTCATTTTAGGTTTTACCTTAGGAATTTTTTTTGAGGCCACCATCCTAGTCAAGCATCGCTTATAATTGCGGTCTCCTGTACAACATATAGTTTTGATAATACTTTTAGTTTATAATAGTACATAGAAATATTAAGTCTCGTTATTATTTGTGTATAATCCTTTGCAAACAAAAATATATTGACATGAAATTGTTATTTTTTGCATATTTTGTTTTATACCTTACGTTTATATGTTCTTTGTTATTCAGTTATTATATTTTGAAAAATGCAGAAATAAAATAAAAAAGAAATATTTCAAAAATGTTAATCTGCACATAAAAGCGCACACGCTCCGCTCCCTAGGGAATATTCAGGCCAGGCACCATTTTACAAGCATACAACGCACACATGCCAATCAAATCACATTAACGTTTACGACCCCAACCATCTACAACTTTGGCGGAGAGTGGCAAATGTGAGTTCATGGGACTTGCCAAAGGACATTAGTGCCGTGGAGGGACTCGAACCGCGAAGCATGTGATCCACAATCCGGTGCCGTATCCAGTAGACCACAATTAACACATCTACTAACCTTCTTTATGTATTAGGGCATGTGCTACTTCATATCCTGCACTGTGCATATTTATAACGCCTTGATCTTTGTACCATGAAACATACCAAACATAATGGCCCGAATTCACAAAGGAGGTTTGTCGACAAACCTTGGTTTTCGTACGTCATATGACGCGTTTTAGGCGTTTTTTTACAAACCTGGTTTGTAAAGAACAAAAGGAGGTTTGGCGAAACAAAAGGAGGTTTGAGCTCGAACCTTGGTCTGAGCTCAAACCTTGCTTTGTGAATTCGGGCCAATATGTTTACATTATTCGATCATTCTTATCGAATGCATGATCATTAATCATGAACAAATATTGAATATAATACGAACACGATACAGCTCGTCTATGCACCTGAAGCACAACTTCGTTGCTACTATGACTACAAACATTTCATGTATGATTCGCATAAAACTCACGTTCGTTTTGTCATCTTCAATTTCAGTTTTCTGTTATGTTTATATAAAGCAAAACAAAAACATTTACATGTCATTGTAATCTGTTAATACCGACCAATGTTATTACAAACCCATAACGACATTTGGTGGTGGTGGTTATTTTACCTGACTGCTAAGAAAGCATAAATGCTTATTAGTTTAAAGCAACCAGAGGATTAATTGAGGATTAATGCCTTACCAAAGAGCACTAGCGCATCGTCTTGGTTTCGAACCCGGGTCACCGGATCTCGAGACCACTGCTCTACCGACTGAGCCATCGCGCCTCCTCCGATGAGTAGTCTTCGTGGTTGCTGCAAATGTTTTTCGTTTCCCAGTTTATTAGCACGCAAATGAAATATTAAAATCTATACAAACTTCATGACAGTGGCGGATCCAGGGGAGCAATATCTATGACCCCTTTTACAGTGAGAAAAGGCCTACTCGGCCCCTCAATTTTATGCGTTTACAGTGGCAGGCTCGTCCGCGGCCTAAATTGTAACCTTTCAATATTTTGTCGTAGTGGCGCTCTGAATGTAAACAAACGATTATTTGGGGGGGCGTGCCGGGGGTCACAGTGCAGATCCGGTCGCGCGCGTTTTGCAGTGAATCTTTCCCCAAATACACCAGTTTATGGTTAGGAGCGCCATTTTAATTGGCGAGTAAACAAAGCAAATGACCCAGAGGTCATGTATTTATGCGTAAATTAAGATTGCGCCCATGCAAATTATGATGAAATTACTGCCTGCGCGCTGCGTTGTGCGCGCACATCATCATTTGCATGGGCGCAATCTTAAATTACGCATAAATACCACTGACCTCTAGATCATTGGCTTTGTTTACGCGTCAATTAAAATGGCGCCCATGTCTGCGCATGCGCACTGATGGATCCGTAAACTGGTGTATTTCCTATACACGGCGAACTTTCACTTCCGGGGTAACAGTTGGCCGCGCATTTTGCCCTGCGTGCGTTAACAGTGAGAAAAGGCCGGTCCTGGCCGCGGCCGAGACTACCTCCAGAGCAGGGCCAAATGCGCGGCCAGTTTGGCCTCGCATTTGGCCTTTAGCGCGTTTACAGTGCTAGGCCAGGCCTTTTGCTCACTGTAAACGGGGTCTTTATCTTCTAAAATACAGGTTAATATTGTTTTTCTTTTGCTTTTTTTAGTTTGGTTGATTTCTTCATATAATATGTGTTTGACATTGACCACAAAAAAGAACGACGAAAGAGAAGGAAAAAAAAGAAAGAACAAACAATTGCTTCAAAAAAAGGAAACATTACGTAATACGTGTATATGAATAAATCATTTGATATTTCTTTCATCATGCAGCAAACATTCTGGATGTGACATGCATCAACTTCAACCCCATCTACGATACCAGCTCCTCAGCATCATACGCCGCCATCTTGAATGGGGCTGACGTCACAAGCATGGTGTCCTTCCAGAGGTCGGTGGACTTGGATACAGGGGACAGGCAGTCAACCTGGTGTTCGCTGGGTGATGATGAAGGAGCATGCGGGTTGCCTCAAGGATCGACGATTGACGTATCAGGAAGAGTTACTTTCCAAAATACAGATCAAGATAAATTTGGTGTTTACGGATGCCGAGCGGAGAGATACAACTGGACTACTGAGACGTCCACTATTTTCATCAGAAATGATGGTAAACAAAAATAAAAATTGATAATGATGATTATGATAATAATAATAATTATTATTATTATAATGATAACGATTATTTAGTTTTAACCGGAGTAGCCTCATCAACATTAATGCTGTTCTCCCTAAGGGCCCTGCAATTATAATTAACACATTTATAGCCAAGGACCTACTTGACACACCTCGGTGAAAAGCAACAAATTTGGATCATTAGGGACTTTTTAGATTTGCGTGGACTGATACGTGTGACGTCCTTTCAAGGCAGTGCATTAAAAGGACGTCGACCGTAGCAATCCACATTGTCTTCCTGCGAATCTAAAAGTCCCTAATGTCTTGCCAGAGGACGTCAGTATATAAAAGCATTTTATGTATATTTTATCATTGATAAGTGCAAAACTAAAGCTTTAAAACGCCTAATGAATTGAATTGAATTGAAATTTATTTCCATCATCACAACAATATATACAAAGATAAAATATGGAATTTCATAACATGTAACAATATCAAAATTACATATAAAATTGACATAACAGCATTCAAAATATAAATGGAAAATGGTGCATCCGTAAAAGCCAGTAAGGCTTGACAATAGAATGCACCAGGCGCAGAATTAATAATAACATATACTTGAAGAAGAAAAAAAAAAAAAAAAAAAAAAAAAGGAGTATTAGTAATATAGGTGTGGTCTTAAAATAAATTATGCGTTATAAAGAGAGAGAAGATGTTTCTTGTAAAGTCTTTTGAAAGAATTATTAAATCCAACAGATTGTAAAAATGGAGGTAGGGAATTCCACATTTTTGGACCAACATAACGGAGAGAATCGGTTAGTATATTGGACGAAGCATTCCAATGATGGAATTTATCAGCATTTCTTGTGTAGTGGGTATGGACCACATTGTTAAGACTAAATAGGTGCATAAGGTTTGGAGGTAGTGAGTTTGAGAAAAATCGTTGCATCAATGAGGCAATTTGCAATTTATTAATATCATAAATATGTAAAGTATTGAATTTTCTAAATAAAGGTTGTGAGGGAGCTAAGAAAGGGGAATTAGAGCAGAGTCGTAATGCCCTTTTTTGAAGTCTATGTAGTTTGAGTAACTTAGAAGGATGTTTCGTCGCCCAAACAGAATTGCAATACATAATATATGGCAAAATAAATGCATTATATAACATGAATAAGATACGGAGTGGAATAACAAATCTTAAGTGACTAATAATACCGACGCTCTGAGAAACCTTTTTTGTAATATAATTAATATGAGAAGTCCAAGATAGGTTTTCATCGAAAAGTACTCCAAGGTAATTAAAAACTCGACACTGTTCAGTTAATCTATTGTTGATAGAAATAGATACATTGTCATATACAGGATTTAGGTTCCTAGCATTTTTGAAAATAACAAATTTAGTCTTAGAAACATTCAAAGATAGCTTATTGCAAACTAGCCATTCGTAAACATACTCCAAATTAATATTCAGTTTATGGGTTAATAGATCAAATTTTTTTTCTGAGGCAAGAATAGTCGTATCGTCTGCAAAAAGTGTGAATTTACAGAAAGTGGAACAGTTTACAATATCATTGATGTAAATCAAAAATAAGAGAGGCCCCAAAATAGAGCCCTGAGGGACGCCATATGATATTAGATTAAAAAAAGAACAATGAGAATTTACAGATGTAAATTGCTTCCTTTCGGCAAGATAACTTTTAAACCATTTGTGAGGTAAACCTTTTACGCCGTAAAAATGTAATTTAACTAATAATATATCATGGGGTATAGAATCGAAGGCTTTCGAAAGATCCATAAAAAACACATATTGCATGATTATTTACATCAACATGATGGACTATTTTATCATATAAATCAAGAATAGCAAGACCTGTGGAAGAATTTTTTCGAAAGCCATATTGCTCATTAGACAGAATGTTGAAGTGAACCAAAAAACTTGATAGTCTATTAAAAACTAATCTTTCAAGTATTTTAGAAAAAGAAGGCAGAATGGAAATAGGACGGTAATTATCAACATTATCTGTATCTCCCTTCTTGAACAATGGAATTACTTTGGCGATTTTCATGTTTGAAGGAAAATCACCATTCTTAAGCGACAGATTACAAATATGTGTTAAAGGTACGAGTAAACAATTTATGACAGACTTTAAAAGACGTGTACTTATGTTATCATATCCTGAACTGTTCTCACTAGGCAATTTTTTAACAATATTTAAAATTTCAGTGATAGTTACTGGTTTGAAAAATAAACTGTGAACAAAGTTACCTTGTAAATAGTCAGAGAATGAATGATTAGAGTCAGGAATGGACTTAATAAGGTTTACTCCAATGTTGACAAAATGATTATTGAGGGTTGTACATGATAATATTCCTACAGCATTGTTACTTGTGCATCATAAAGTACTCGACTTGAATTCTAGATGATGAAATATATTTTGTCGAATGGACAGTTATGAAAATGAGGTTTCGAAATCAAAAATTCTAACCTGATAATAATAAGGGTATTTTTGGATTTTGTTCCATTTTTTTAATCTCAAATATACCAAATCCAGGGTTTAGGGGATGGGGGAATCATGAACGTCCTCCCTGAATTCGCAACTACAGGGAGATTTGAGTTTTGTTAATCATTAATTCAATACCATAAGGGTATCTTGTAAATGGTGCATACACACGTCAAGTGTACAAATAATAATTTGATATACTTTCATTCTATAATTGGTAACATTTATTCACTGGCGACTAGATGAAATAAATTGCTATGTTGTAACGATTATAGACTGTAATATTTATAGAAAAATACAAGATACAAAATTATGAATACGATTAAAGCTTAATTAAATGATAAAAACAAAATGAAAAACAAAACTAGAAATGCAATCGTGTCACAACGATGTGCGTGCAATGACGCCATGTTTCTACGTGTCAAACGAAAGAGCTTCTCTCGGACTATCCAGAGCAAATTGTACGAAGTCTGTAGCTTCGGTGATACTGGAGATAGGTAGGGCGAAAGAAAGGCCTCAACAGTGACCTTGATGGGATGGTAGTGACTATGCCTACGAAGTTTGAAAGAAATTGGGATAGGGGAAAGAACCTAGAAAGGGCTCGCAAGCACTGCGTGCAAAAACCAATGGGATTTGGTGCATGTTCGTCATTGCAATCAAGATCGTTCTGGGGGCCAAAAGCGTGAACCCGATATGCCCCATAGACAATGCGTGTAATGCATGGGCGGAAAACGTACAGAATTTGTATAATGACCGGAGTTAAATTGTTATTTCTCTCTCTCTTTATGTCTCTTTATGGGCCGTATTTGGTATCATTAGAAAGAGAATTTCATGGTTGTTATTGTAAACAACTCTCTTTTTTTCTATGATAATCCTATCGAAACACGTGATGTAAAATAGATTTATAGGACAAAATGGCGTCTTAAATGGCCCCATTGACCAATTTTAAAAATCCGGCCACAAGGTGCCCTTCGTTTTGCAACTTGGCATGTCACTGCAAATTTTCAAGGAAAAAAAAGGACGTTTAAGGGGCGAAAAGCAGTCTGAAAAAATGACGTCAAAGCCGATACGTGTTAGATTCGGGCGGAAACTCGGCGGAATTCGTGTAGTGACCTTTGTTTAAATGCGATGTATTCACAATTTTCTGTGTGAACATATACTATACTTGGTATCATTCGAAAGAACACTTTATTGCGGTCAGTTTGACACCATTGTAATCTTCGCGCAATGTATTGCACGCATTAAACGCGCTATTACGTAATGCATAGTAAATTCATCATTTTTGGCGATAACATTGCGCTGACACGTTCGAATTTTACCAAACTTAGCAGACAGTTGTCACGTATATGGATACATATGTCTGCCAAGTTTCATTGATGTAGGTATAAAGATCGCCAATTTAGAGCAAGTTGAAGTTATTTCTCAATTTTATTGAAAATGGCGAATTTGGAGGGCATTTTTCGCAAAGTCGGTCAGTGTTAGGGTATATAATTTTGTATATGGCTGGAAAGGGCATATGCTCAAGTATCTAAATCCAAAAAAAGGTACGGGTCTGCCAAGCCATGATGGAGATACGGCCACAGAAAGAAAGCCAATTCCCAGAACTTTAGAGGGCGCTATTTATGTTTTGCATAGTCATTGGAGCGTAAAAATTAGCATGGCTATGTGCAATTATGAAATAAAGATACTGCGAGAAGATGAGACGGAACGAAATTGGTTAAAGAAAGTTATTGCAATTTTTAGATTTGTAGGGGTCTATTTTTCAAGAATTTGGGAGATTGTTGACGGAGTCGGTTTCAGATTTGAATTTTGACTATGAAGATGGCATTTTGAAGGTCAAGTTATACGTCGCAGATAAAAGAACATCTCTTAGACTATCTAAAGGAATTTGTTAAAAGTTTGTAGGATCTAGGATAGTGGAGATAGGAAGGAATGAAGAAAGGCCCTAAAATGGACCAGAAACGGACAAAATGGCGCCTGGATGGTTATGCATGACTGATTTCGAAAATAAAAAAAATAGGTGACCTTGTTGAGATATCAGAGATTACGCCTACGAAATTTGAAAGGAAAAGGATATGAGGAAAGTACCTAACTAGGAATAATAAGCACTACGTGCAAAACGAATGGGATTTCCGGACGATAAGGATAAGGATAAGGATAAGTATATTAATGGGGCAGAATGTGAACGAAAACAAGGCAATGACGAAGGTCGTCATTGCAATGAAGTTCCTTCAACAAATACAACATAGTAACAGGGAATCGTTCGAGATAAAACATCAATTTTGATGTATTTTGTTCTCTTTCTTTAGCTCATTTCACTCCTGATTACTTCACGGTGACAGTGAGTCTCGATGAAGAGGTTCGTCTGGTAATGACTCCTGGATCATCTAGTGGAACTGGTTCACTAGAATGGATATTAAATCACGAAGATGGTAGGCAAATTTACCTGACTTCTAATGTTTCTGGGACTGATGAGCTCTACATCAGCAGGGCTACGAAAGAGGACCATGCTGGGATTCACCATTACTACTATTCTTCCGCTCCATATAGAGGAGGAATAATGAAGCTTATTGTTAGAGGTAATCATGTCACCTTCTCTTCCAATGATCCAAAGATAATCACAAAATGTTTTACCTACCAATTATTTCGGTTGATTAAGAAACAAATCGTAGGACATGTAGAAACGAAGACGTTATTTGACTTGCAATTAACTTGACTTGATATTTGTTTCCAGCCATTTAGGTTTACCTAATCCTATTTTATCAGGGAAGCTGTCTCGACGTAACTTTTTTTTGTGTACAGCTATGTATATATTTATTTTGTTTATAAATGTTTTCCACGAAAATGGAATCTAAAACAAGAAAATTGAATTGAACTGAATTGAAAATAAGCTTTCGATGTAAATTGTGGTATAAATTGATATTCCGACTATTCTGGCTTTTTGTCGATATATGCCTTTTCAAAACTACAATTATGCCTGAAAAGCATCTTTGATATCTTCGTAATGATTTGTACCTTCATTTAAGAAAGTAGAGAACGAAACATTGATATCATGTAATGTTAATTGTGTGTGGAGTTCTGAAGATTTTACTTTGTTTTTTTCGTTTGTTTGTTACTTTTGTTTAATAAAATTTTTGGACAACAAATGAGAGGTCCCTACAAATGCCTTTTTGTTAATATTATGTTTTCTTGATCCGTCAATGATTCACTTTCTGGATGCAGGAATAATATTTACACGACGATTAAGACCTTTTTTAATGGTTACAGCTTGTCTTGATAACCTATGGGGACCTGGCTGTCAGTATACATGTCCTACATGCTACAATGGAGGAGTCTGTGATGATGTGAGTGGACGCTGTGTGTGTCCACCTGGCTTCAGTGGTGACCACTGCCAAATTGGTAAGTGAACAAAAATAATGAAACGATTTTTGTTATTTACTCTCTGATATAATAATAAAAGAAAAAAAACATTGTTTTTAAAGATAACATTATAAAGAATAGTAATTAGAACAAATGGTCGTGACGATGATAATAATAATGGTAATAATAATACTTATTATAATAAAGATAATAATTGTAATAATGAGAAGAAAAAGAATGAGAAGAAGAAGAAAAAAAAAAGAGAAGAAGAAGAAGAAAACGAAGTTCCTACTACTACTGCTACTACTTCCACAACTACTAATGCTGATGTTACTTCTTCTAACACTACTACTGCTGTTTGTACTACTACTACTACTACTACTACTGCTGCTGCTGCTGCTACTACTGCTGCTGCTACTACTACCACTACTACGCACAACCTATGAATGCTTTTCTCTTTCATGTCTATTCAAAATTGTATACAGCATGTGAAGCCGGTAAGTTTGGACAGGGATGTTCAGGGTCTTGCCCTACCCTTGAGTCTGGTCGGACTGACTGCAGTGGAGCAGTGTTCTGTCTCCCGGATCCGTATGGATGTTCGTGTGCTGCAGGATGGACTGGGTTACAATGTGACCAAGGTAAGAGAGAACCAGGGCCCCGTTGCAGAAAACTTACCATTGATGGCAACTACCATGGTAACCGGGCTCGACAGCCTATCAAAATCAAGGTGTCCATGGTAGTTACCATTGATGGCAAAGTTACCGTCAACGGTAGGTTTTGTGCGACGGGGCCCTGATGACATGACGGTTATCATGCAAAGTGATGTTTGCTTGACATGCCATATCCTTGGAACGATTGCGTAATTCGGTCTAATATCACTTTTGTTCATAGTTCAATGACGTCAAGTACATATAAATGGTCTTGTAATACATTTCATGAATCTGATGATATTGATAAAAAAACAAGAACAGTACTAATAATTTTACCCTCTTCAGTCGCGGCTATAGAAAAAACAAATCAGGGGAGGTATTAGGGGTTTTGGTAGTTTTGATGTTTATAATATTTGGGGGAAGGGGGGGGGGGGCTTGAACAATTACTTTGGGAGGTCGAGATCCTTAATGCCCCCGCTACAGCCGCTGATGAGTCTCTTTCTCCCTATTTCCGCAAAGCACGTCTTGATGCTAAGTATGGCACAGGATGCAGTGAGGGTCGAAGGGCATTGGGGGCTTTGGTACTTTTGCTGTAAGCGGGGTGGCCTTTCTTTAGAATCAATAATTGTTTGTAATGATTCTTATTATTATTCATTACTAATTTTGCTTATTTGTTTCTATTTATTTATGTATTTATTTGCATTTTTCATTATTTTTCATATTATATTCTTTTTAGGGGGGGTTAAAGGGTTGCTACTGATCCTCTACTCCTCTCGCTGGTTATCTCTTTTATCTCCACAAAGCATGTCCTGCTGGTTCGTATGGTGCGGGATGCACAGAGACATGTCACTGCGACTCTGCAGGATCATGTGACTCTGTTACTGGGGCCTGTTCTAATGGGTGCGAAGATGGTTGGATTGGAGATCAATGCCAAGGTAAAGGATCATAAAGAACGTTCTCAAATTGGAATTTGGAACATGTCTAAGATGTACTGATCAAGACTAATAATAATTTACAGTAATGAATACAAATTTGAGGGATAACCTAGTATGTAGACGAGCCAGTCAAAGATAAGGTCCTTGTGGTTTGAAATTGTCCTGACACTTTCTACAGTTTTAATACACAAACACCAACAACCCCCTCCCCCCAAAAAACATGAACAAATAAATACCATACATATGATTAAAAAAAATAAACAAAAATAAACAAACAAACAAACAAGCGGACTTGCCAAATATAAAAAGGTGGCAGGGGGATGATATCCCTATGTAACAATCTAACAATCTTTATAGGTATATCATGACATATATGGATATCTTCTGCAAACAGTATACCTTTATGTATCAATTTGATCTTAATCGGCTTATTTTTTTATCTTGCATTTCTTGGGGTGTGGGGGATGGGGAGGGGGGGGGGGGGTTAGAGGCATTTTAAACGAAATAATGCAAGTATTTTTAATTACCCGATAACACATTCTTAACTTCGAAGTCCATTTCGTGTTGTTTTCCTTAACAAAGCACTCGAAACTAATTTATATCTATTAACAGAAATTACTAAATATAATGAGATTATCACTGATTATATAGGAATCAAGTATTAAGACTGTTTCCCCCTTTTTGTTTTTCTTAAAAATCGAACATAGTTTCGATAATATGGGTTTAAATGCAATGTCATGCTAATCAATTTTTAGCCACATTTACATACGTTCCAATCTAAGACGTTTCTTTTTTTACACCTATGTAATGCAATATCTGGCGAATACTTCTTTGACTTATCGTTTTGAGATATCAATTGCATCATTGTGTACTTTAGAAATGTTGTAATCTGGATAAATACTTCGCGATGTCCCCCTTTTTTCTACTACAGTGACTATTTTGGACATCACATCCTTCTCAAGACAAGGAGGTGTCCATGATGTCACGGACGGCATTGATAATTTCCTCGGAATATACATGATTGGGGATAGTAACGTAACCGGAGATCTTTCCTTGACGTATTACATCGGACGAGAAGTGGACACGGGACCAGGAGAGACTGGTCACGGAGCTTACTTTAAGGTGGACGGCGGAGTGATAACACAAGAATGGGAAGAGACAGGGCTGCCTCCAGAAACACAGTTTTATAGAGTAACACATAGCGCTCATAACTCATTAAGAGCTGGAATTAATCAATCGAGTGGCGGAGATGCACGTGTCGGTGCATACCGAATGTCCGTCGATTACAAGGGATGGACCGAGCGAAATGTCATGCTGAACGAGTTTCGCGGCGGTATGGTCGTTTGATACATTTAGCACGGATTAGCTTTATACTTATTATTGCCACTTTACCAAAGAAAAGTGATAATCATAACAACATTCGTTCTTTGTGCCATGGATTGCTACACAAGTAACAAGACAGTAATTGATGTTTTGGATTTAATTCATATATTTTAAAGAAGGGCTCAATTAGATTGGTCTATTTTGTACTTTTACTTTGTTTATTTGGTAGATGGATATATTCCTTTTTAACATGTTTATGCATACGGATATTGAATAGGAGAATAGACTCCAGATTATAATCATGCAATAAGACGAATCTTGTATTGTTGTGCTAATTCCGACACGATCGCAACTACTTTCGAAGAAAATCATCCTCAGGCAATTTCAATAGCCTTGTGAGTCACCTATTACAATTATCGAACTTGACAATGACGTATTACGTAGTTCAAACATGATTATATGGGATGTCCTATAGGGTGTTGAAAATGTCCCGGGTTAAGATGAGCCTACGAAATTACCAAATATGTAAAGAATTGTACACTTGAACCTCTGACGGACTATTAAGGCCTAAGCAACTCTTTAAAAATAGAAGTGTTGAATCGTTCCCATTACAATTTCTGTGTATCAAAATTTCATGAACATTAAGCACATGCAACCTATTATATTCTTATTCTTTACTGTCAGATTCTAATTCAGAGGTTTGGCCTGAAAAATTATCAATTACGGTAGGGATTGGTGAGACCGTCACTCTCGGCGTGTTAACGGATCAGTCTGTAGTCACTTCATTCTTGAGATGGCGACTCAACGGAGGAAGTGAAATCACCGAATGGGATGGACTGACATCAGCTACCATCTATGACGTCAGGAAGTCAGATGAAGGAATCTACGAGTGCTACATCGAGGGTAACAGAGAGACAGGAAAACATGCTATTCTTAAGCTCATCGTAAGAAGTAAGTAAACGAAGATGTATACCGTCATATTTCAATACCTGTACATTTCGCCGACTTACTGCACCGGTTACATGTTGATTTTACGAAGTTCCATAAAAGGTTTATAATTCCGAAGGTTTATAATTCCGAAAATGAAAAGAAACCCTGAAGGCCCATCGTATTTTTGGAACTTCGAACCCTTCGGAATAACAAACCCTATTTCCCTTGTTTGGGGGTATGTACCCTATTTTAATTTAGGAATAACAAACATTATATACCTCACTTAAGAAATCCAGCCATCTGATTGGTCGAAATTGCAGTCATGGTTTTAGCCATTCCCGTAAATAAACGAAAAATGCCACGCCCATGTAATAGTTCGAGGGTAAAATTCAAGTTACTGGGAATAGTTCAGTCTTGCTTAAAAACTGGTTTAAGCGATCGCGGATACCATACGTGTACGTGTACTGTGCGAAGAATTGGTCGCTAGACAGCAAGAAAACCAACAGAGTAGGCCCTACGTCTTATTATTAGCCTTAGATCTAGGTCTAGATATAGATTGTGATTTTATTGCTTACGATAACGGTGATACAGGTATTGAAGATTGTAAAATGCAAGTCTTTGAATTCATTTGGTGGATGAAAAAAGTTAATTCTACACCGTTTTGTGCGTCATTGCAGCGCTGAATTTGGTGTGTTTGTCGCTAATTTCTGACAAATTTAGATAGCTTTCCTGATGGTATTTCATGCAAAATTTATGTTATATTGATAAGCACTGATTCTTGTCCTTACCTTTGACTTGTTTCTTGTCGGTTATAGTCATTTAATAGATGAATTACTTGAATTCTGAGCACATTTCAGTAACACAAACAATCCAGCCCGTTCATAGTCCCACACACGTATTTGTATGTACCTTGTGCCCTTTCACTGTCTGCTGTCTCGATAGCGTAAACAAACTTGATTACCATGATTGGTAAGTCGCACATGTATTCTATGACCCTTTTCGGTATATAAAAGTATTAATGACTGCTTTAATTTTCGAAACATAGTTGTTTCTCAAAGCAGTCATTAATACAATACTATTTCATTTTCGGATTCATGAACCATCAGATAAACGAACCTGTTGAATATTAAACGCAACAAATGTACGGAATAATGAATTCCTGGGATGGAAAATTTGTTTTTCGAAATTACATATCTTCGGAGTTACTCGTCGGAAAAGTGCTTCTTATATCAGCTCACTGCAAACGATTCATCAAGGTTGTTTTTTTCTCGAATAACGGCGCAAATTAAAATATTAGATGCAAAAATGTATCGCTCATACTTTATCGTTATATAATCTACATCAAATACATTAGCCTTTTCCGGATGCCCATAGTAGAATATAAATTGTAAACATTTTTCACATCAGGATAGGATATATCCTTAATCATGGCCACCGTTAACAGTAGGCCTTATTAAACTGCATAGCATTGCTAAGCCGTCACATGGGTACCAGATGATTAAATGTCATGATTTTTCTCTCTACATTCTTTTTTAAAGGTTGCCCATCTTCCAAGTATGGTCTGGATTGCTCACAGAACTGTCCCGTATGTTACGCTGGTGGTGTATGTCATGACGTCACGGGAGAATGTGTATGTCGATCAGGATTCACAGGAGTTAATTGTGAAACAGGTAAGTATAATTTGGTAACTTGTTTCTTTGTACTCAATCAATATTCGTCAAGTAAAATTAATTAATTATAATTTTATAGGAACTGATGCACTGATTAAGATTTTCCGTTCTTTTTATTCTATTATAGGCTTTAATCTTTTGGAAGCTTTTCGAATGACAACTTTCAATAAATATAAGTGTCAAAGAAATATACGTGGTAATTATTCCGAAATAATCGAATTGCAAGATTGTGTTGCAGATATTGTAAAATCGTTTAGGCATTTGTTACGTTGAGATTTAACAAAAAAAGTAATTAAAGACCCCTTTAGAAGTGAAACATGAAATAGATGAATTATATATCCACGGAAAGTTCATAAACCATAGATTACAACGATATATCATTAATGCTATATTTAATTGTATGTCAGAGAAGTGACAGCTCTCTGAAAACTTGTAGTCTAAAGCTCTAAAAATCGAAAGTTCTTGACCTAGAAACTTGCGATATATCGACTTGATTACATCAATTCGTCCTTGTTTTCACGAAGTGACGGTAGTGAGGAAAATCGTAACGCAAAGTGAATGCAATTTTTTTCACTACCGTCACTTCGTGAAAACAGCGACGAATTTATGTGTAGTATGCGTATTTGCAGTCAATTTGTTTAATTCAAATTCAAATTCACATTTATTCGGCAAAAGATAAAAACATCAAAATGAAATCATTACAAATGAAATCATTATAAATAAATACCGGGATTGCTAAAATAAGTTAAAAACTTGTAAACAAGCAACCCCAAACATAAAAACATACAGATACTATACAATACAATAAGATGAAATACAATAAAATACAATACAATACAATACAATAATAATAATGTTTCATGCTAACAAAATATATGAATCAATTATGTATTTCAATAAATCAATAAGTGGCAAGTATTGTTCTTTTCAGTTTAAGTTTAAATGCGTTCTGGTTCTTAATACCCTTTAAATAACTTGACATGGAGTTCCATTTGTGAGGACCTTGATATCTAATTGATTTATTTTGCAAAAATGAGTTAGTGAATTTTGGTAGATGGAAGTCATTTTTTTTTCTTGTATTAAAGGAGTGGACATCCGAGTTCAAATGAAAACTGTCATAAAACGTTACTGGTAGCAAATTATTTTGGAGTTTGTACATAAATAATAAAGTCCGTTGAGAAAGAATATCTGGAAGTTTGAGTAAATTTAAGGATTTAAATAATGAAGAGGTGTGCGCCCTGAATGAAGCATTGCAGCACAACCGAACAGCCCGCTTTTGAAGTATGATAAGGGGCTTTAATAAATTATTAGACGTTCTCGCCCAAACTAAATTACAGTACGTTAAGTAAGGATATATGAGAGTGTAGTAAAGCGAAAGCATGGTAGAGGATGGTAGAAAACTTTTGAGCTTATTCATTACACCGACTTGGGACCGAATCTTCCTGGAAATTAATTCAATGTGTTTTGCCCATGTAAGTTTGTTGTCAATGGCAACTCCTAAAAAATTGGCAAATTGTACCTGGTCAATACAGTTACCATCTATTGTCAGATTAACATTTTCAATTAAAGTATCATTTTTTTTACCAAAGTTAAATATCATGAACTTTGTTTTGGTCTGATTAATTTTTAATTTATTTGATGAAAACCAGCTAGCAACCTTTTGAAGTTCAACATTGGCTTCGAAAATTAAGTCTTTCAAATTTTTACCAGAATAGAAGATGTTTGTGTCATCGGCATACAGTACATAATGTAATTTCCTTGAAGACTCAACAATGTCATTTATGAAGAGCAAAAATAATAACGGGCCCAAGATACTACCTTGAGGAACACCTTGCTTCATTAATAGCAATTCAGAGTCAGATTCATTATAATTTACAAATTGTGTTCTATTAGACAGATAACTTTGGAACCATTCCAATGGAATGCCTCTAATTCCATAAAAACTTAATTTTCTTAATAAGATTTTGTGATCCAAACAATCGAATGCCTTGCTAAGGTCTACATACACTCCTAAAGCTATCTCTTTTTTTTCATAAAATTTGTACAAAAGTTCGGATGCAAAAAGTAAAGCTGACTCTGTTGAATAACATTTTCGAAACCCAAACTGTTCCGAAAAAATAATTGAATGCTTATGAAGGAAAGTAGATAATCGATTGTACATTAGTCTTTCTAAAATCTTGGAAAAAGTCGAAAGCAATGATATTGGGCGATAGTTCGATAAATCATGTATATCACCTTTCTTAAATAAAGGTATGACTTTTGAAACTTTCATTGAATCAGGAAATGTTCCAGACATAAATGATAAATTAAACACATGGGTTAAAGGTTCAACAATATAGGAAATTAACTTCTTTATAACGTATGGTGACATATCATCCACCCCACATGAGTGTTTATTTTTCAAGGAAGAAGATAACTTCAAGATCTCATTTCGATCTGTTGGTGAAAGAAACAAAGAATGCGTTACGCTGGTTTTCAAATAGTCACGAAAGCATCCGGTGGTCTGGGGATCATCAAAACAACCAGCATTAACGAAAAACGAGTTAAATGCATTTGCAATTGCTTTTGGTTCAGCGGCCTTACACCATCTTTACGAATGAATGAGGGTAATTTCGATTTACTATCTTTACCAAGCAGGTTGTTCAGAGTTTTCCAAGTGTTCTTTAAATCATGGCGATTTGATTCAAGCTTTTCAGCAAAGTAGTTCTTTTTGGAGACACGTATAATGTGAGTAAGCCTATTTCTGAAAGATGTGTACTTTTTCTTCACGGAGGGGTTTTTCAGTTTTAAATACCGCTTATACAAGCGTTCCTTTCTACCAATGGATTTGAGAATGCCTTTCGTAATCCATGGTTTTTTGGATGATCTACGTCTATCCTTACCAGGTATTGTTTTCGAATGCTTTGAAATCATCTGTTTAAAATCTTGAATAAAGGTATCGTAAGCTTCGTTGACATTGGTTTTGGATGTTACCAAAGACCAATCATACAATGCTAAATCTTCACACAATGAGTTAAAGTCTATTCGGAGTTTAACTTGACTCGCATTGTTCCTATTCAAGTGGGTGTGGTAATTTGGTGGTAAAGAGTTCGTTACTTGAAAGATTGGAAAGTGATCAGACACATCTGAATACAAAATACCAGGCAGGATTGGCTTATTCAAAACATTCAAAACATTTGTAATTAAGCAAGGCTTATCGCCTCAGCTGTATAGGTGAGCCGATCAGGTTTACCGTTCACATGTTATGTCGTCACCGCAACTCTCGTAACTTTAACCCCTGTTGACTTGTAATGTTAAGGGGTGTTAAAAATGAGGTTTGAATATGCTTTTGTGCATTAATGAACGCAAATATTTGATATTCCTTTATACTTGTATTTTCTATCGATATGAAGTTGTTTAATATATGGGATAAGGCCTTTAAAGATAAACTTGAGTTCCGATCATGCGATTGTATCGTAAAAGAATCGGTGTGGAATTGATCAGGAAAGGTTGAACATGTAACATATAAGTATTGGTGTGCACTGCAAGGTTCTGGAAACATCAAACTGATAAGAAATGTGGTCCAGTCTTGGTAAAGTTACAAGCATTGTACACATAAATATGTATATGGGACTACACGAACATGCGGCGTAAAAATCCGTTCCGATTTGTATGATGTTACATGCCATTTTTATAATAATAAGGCATTTGAATAGCCATGCTTTTCAGGGAACAACTTTTATCTGATGTTCTTCCACACTCACATAAACCAATGATAACGCTCACAAATAATTGTTCACCTCTTCCCAGAACTCAATCTTTTCTTTAAGTGTAACAAATAGTCTTCCTTTTCTTTGTTTTCATGGTCATGCAAACGCCATTCCATTCACCAGCCTGTGGTGACAACAACTGGGGGAAATCATGTAGTGCGGTTTGCTCTAGTGATAACCCCGGCTGCCCAAACCACTTATTTTCACCGCCAAACCCTGTCGGGATGGCTTGTTTCAACGGATATGGAGGAAACAGGTGTCAAACAGGTATGTATGTTACAGCATAGATACCATACATACAAAGTTACAGATGACAAATAAAGAAAAAATTAGAAATGTTTTTTGTGAAAGTTTTAGATAAATAGTAGTATATGAACAAAAACGTGTCTCAAGACTAAAAGTAGTGTTTCTAAACACAAAATGTTTTCTTTTGTCTTAAAACTTGCTTGGTTGACTTAGTGCTGCTCTTACCCTCTTATGATAATAATCTAAAACAAAGATTTCCCCTATCTAGTTGATTCGTACATTTTCATAATTTTGATTAGATATGTAATTTGCCCATTTGTATAGTGGAATTAAAATAACAATAAATCAACGGCTTTCTGACAACATTTCCCTTTAAATGGCAGTGTACAAACAGACATGTTTATTATCTATTTATAATGCATCATTTTGTATGTTTCTTGACATTTCACCTTTTATTTCTGTCGTTATTATAGAAACGGCATTAGATATTGCTCTAGCATTCTCTACAAATTTCAGTATAGCTTCATAAACAGCACTGTTTTTCGTTGTTGCAATCCAACACAAATTTAATGGAAAATGTCCATAATTCATAATGTTTCAAGATAAATCAAAATACAACTTACTCTGATGTTTCTATCTAGCCGAAAATGGAGTCATATTTTGTTGTTCTAGAGCACAAAAGTATATATTTTGTATTTACCTATTACAAGGTGTCATTGAATGGCCGGTGAAGATGAGTGTGGGTGTTACACTTATGAAAATGTCAAATACTAATCATTGACCCAATCATTCAATGTTTACCGACAGAGTGCTCAGGTGATAGATTTGGTGCTAATTGTGAACTGGACTGTAACTGTGATGGTACGTGCGACCGTGTGAATGGATGTGGAGGCACATGTTCAGACAGCTACGAGGGTAACTTCTGTCAAGGTAAGATTCAGAGGGTGTTTCGTGATCGTCCTTACCAAGTATTTGATTTTAATGCGATGTAATGGGGATATCATGTCTCTGCACGCCGTACTTAAAACTTTACTGAACGGAAAAACTTTCTGCCCTAGCGTTATTTTAGTGCACAATGTCATCTCATGGTAAACTTGCCAACAGTGCGTAACCCGCTGATCTCTACATTACGTTAGAGTGAAGAGTTAAGAGGAAGTTATGGAATCATACTGCTACCTGAGATGGCGCTTGAGGAAGCGCTTGTAGTGGGTTTAATCCACTTACCATGTATGGATAGAAATATGAGGGCAACATTAACTCCCATCATGCCACAGGGCTAAACCCCATTGTGCCAAGCCCCAAATCCCCCCCCCCCCCGTGCCAGGTTGTTTTGGAGATAATTTGTTTAACGCGATGGTTCTATGAATAGCGGTGCGAAACACACAGCACAGTCCAATAAGCATGAACAATAACAGCTATTACGAATGAGCCCTTGCACGCACATGGCAGTGAATCAATGGTTAGCTCGCATGTACAAAGCACTATAACGGTAGCGTGCATGCAGCCTCATGGCATGCTATGAGTTAATGAATTTGTGGAAAAATGCGAAATAAATATAAGCCACTACATTTTGTATAATTCATCTCAATGCATGCATCATAAGAAAAATACAAACAATAATTTGAAATTCATATATATTTGTATGGTCATTTTTTAAAGATATTCAAAGTGTAGCGCAAAAATAGAATATCGTCGATATGTCGATATGCCAATTATCTAATAATTCATTGTCACAAAAAAAAACCTACAGGCAGCATCGTTTAATGACATGAAACGTTAATTTCCTTTGGCACCATTTCGTTTGAAAGAAACAGTTTTGTATCAACATGTTCTTACCATAATTATTTGACGGCAATTTGGTCACAGATGTCCAGAACATCATTATGTCACTCACATATCTTTTTATGATTTTGCTTTGTTTGCTTGTTTCCTTTAGCCTTGGAATCAGACCGCTCTTGTCCAACCGGGTATTTTGGTACCCTGTGTAGCTATCCATGTCATTGTGCTGGTGGTGTGGACTGTCAACGGACCAATGGTCATTGTCTGAATGGAGTCACGTGTGCTGAGGGATGGGCAGGATCAGACTGTCAACAAGGTAAGAAAAGGCGTATCTGGGAAAGAAGGGAAATTCCTAAACGGAAGAGAGCAGAACTTGCAGGCATACAGGATGAAGCGATTTTTAAACTCTGGATAAATGTAGTCAATCATATGTATTTAGTTTTGGTGAGCCCTTTCCCCTCCCATTTTGTCACACGCAAATTCATGTTTTTACTGGCTCGATAAAACAAAGAAAAAATAGATGCCAGTTTAACAATTCTGTTTCCTACGATCTAAACTAGAAAAAGAACCCCACGACAATACTTTCATTTTGCATGTGACCATTGAAATAATCTTAATGAGCCTTTATTTTCTTCTACTTCTTTTGTCTTGTGAATCAGTACTGTTACCTCATCACATATTGCCAATTTGCCTTAGATCTTTTTGAGTGCGAAGGTGGTCTTTCGAGGTAGTATTTGCAGTGGATGAAATTGAAAGTTTGATAAACACTGCATTATTATTAGAATTATGTTATATTGCTTGACAGTATGTGGACTTTCTTCTGTAATAACCATATCTGTTCGCATGCCCTAATTGATGTTCGGCGCTTCAGCCAGTTTCTGTCGCAAAGCAGTTCCATCACAAGAACTATAAATCACATTTATACATCCTCACCCATGCACACAAGACACTCACCCACACGCTCACCCATACACGAACGTAGGCCTATACATGCATATCTATGACATTGTCGCATTATGTCGCACACATTCAATCCGCACGATCTTAATAGAGCACTGTGGGTGGATAAAATACCAATGCACTAATACAAAAATACGTCCAAGTGAGTATTCAGAAAACTTATATCAGAAAACTTTTATCAACCCAAACAGCTCTTCCAAGACTGCTTGAATCACCTTGGGTGTCTGATGTCACCAAAGATTCGGTCCTACTCATTTGGAATGCCTGGACAGTTGGTTACGATTATGGCAATGGCCCTGTCCACTCCTATCAGATTGACTACACGTGGACGGACGATAAAAACAACACTGGTGAATCCGAAGAAACTTTAATCATCACTGGAGATAGTACTGCTGAAATCACGGGGCTTTCCGGTTTCAGAGACTACGATTTCTACATCAGTGTTAGACGGGAGGTCGAGGGTCAGGTTGTTGCCGGTGTAAGGAGTGGTCCAATCAGTGCCAATACAAATTGTGGGGGTAGGTCTATTCATTAACGAGTCCAACTGTCTTTCATTATCTCCATATTAACGTGATATCCATGCATTTACTACTTCCAAATCGCTATGATGTCATGAAGGGAAAGTGCGGGAGAGGCCATATCTCCTTTTCAATCACTCCCTCTACTGTGTCTTCTTTGTTACAGATGTAAATGTCTCCCATTTTGAGAAAAAAATCTTAACGAACTTTAAAACCTTTTTTGTTTCATGTTTCAACTCGGTTGCCCGCAAGAAGGGCCTTGATGCCATTAAAACATGTCTCCTGTGTGTAGCCGAATTTATGAATCTCTTGATACATTTACGAATATAATAATTTCAGCTTCTATTATGCATGGTTGGGTGAACACATTTCGACAGGTTTAAAAAAAAAAGTTATTATTCATCATAATTACCTATACCTTCTAGGCAGCTGAATCGCCTCGAAGTTTGAGCAAACTATCGTGCGGCGCGGTAGCTTGATAAAGTAACAGTATAGAACTCTTTTCCGATTCACAAAGGGATATGTAATGATTATATTACTGACTAGATCATTTTTCGTGAGATACAAGGATATATTGCCGGTACTGTACAGTTTCTTAGTATCTCCCTCAAGACCATTTAATATTATTATTATACCTATCATTACATCATATGAAACACTGCATATTAATCTTGGCGTTAATATTTTGGTCTTGATTTCAGCCCCGCTATTGGAACCAGACATCCTTTCAACAACCGTGAATGGAATGGACAGTATCACTATTGAATGGAAGGTAAGTTGTGGAAATGGCTCTTCCAACTTGTTCTGAATATGTACATGTGTATATATATATAAACCTAATACAGACAGTAACTGTGGAATACATACTCCCAGGCTATATAAGAACACTTAAACAATTACAAGAAATCATTAAAATATAGGTTTCCTAATGAAGTTTTAAGCATAAGTAAGTAAACAATCGTTAACCTTTGACCTTTCTATACGTAACTGTGCAGATCCCTGAGACACCTTCTTCATCTTGGCTCCAATGTGATTCATCAATCGTTAGCTACAACCTGACTTATTGGCCAAGGGATGATCCCACTAACTCTACAACTATTTCAGTAAATAGTACGGAAGACATAGTTGTCAAAACAGTCAATGAGTTGGATGTCTGCACCGAGTACGAGTTCTCCATTGTCGTTGTTAATTCAATCGATTTAGCTGGGCCTGCGAATATGACGTCAGCGATGACTGACAAAATACGTGAGTTTCTGCATTACACTTTAATTTTGGGAACATAACCTTGTGGCTACGAAAATTGTCACTTTTAAAAACATTTTTAGTTTTTATATTTGATTATCATTTGATACGATAAAATTTGTTTTCGCAGCTCTGCTCAAAATGAAATATATATATATTTTTTTTTTAAAGGAAAATATACAAATTATATACAAATATACAAACAAAAAAAATATACAAATACATAAATCACAATAAATGCTGGTTTTAATTTTCATTTGAATTCCGAGACCAAGGTTTGGTTCGGCTCGGCTCCTGCCATGGCCATTGGTTAGTCACGTGTTACTTCTCTGTCGCAAAGTTCATAGAATGTTCTACAATATTATTTTAGTAGTAGGGCACACACGTGATAATTGAATATGAACTTCACCTGCCTCATATTCCATTCCATAAGGATAATCTAAAATGATCCACTTGAAGTTGTGTATAGACACTTCAGACATTACCTACAAAGCCAATACTTAGGCCTTCGATACTGCCTAACAACCCCCTCTCTTCTTCTGTTTTGCTCCACAGCTCCTCAACCTGTGGATAGTGCTGACGTCACTTCAGATTCGTACAACCACCTGGAGATCACGTGGTCAGAGCCATTCAGCCAATGCGGTGCTCCGAGCTACACCGTATCACGTAGGCTCCTCCTCAATGACCAATGCGACGATTCTATGGCGGATACGGTAACATGGGAGGTAACAGGCGATACAAGCATCGAGTATGACGACCTGTTGCCATACTCTACCTATGAGTTTACAGTTCTGGCGACTCTGGAAGGCTATGTTGCAGAGACAGTCTATGTGATCGCATACAACTCAACTGAGTCAGGTAAAGTTAAATAATAATAATAATAATCTGAATCTTTATAGCGCTTAATACGGATGCCCTTTTAATACCAAATATTATTACCCTGGTCATTGGATTTCTTTACGCACAATGTGCACAATCTCCACTTCTGGGGAAGTATTCTTACCCATATGTCACCATGAGGGAATAATCAATTATCAAAACAAAGTGCTTTCGTCATCCTATCGGGTCCCCATTTTTGTCTTGGGTATTGAGTGGCATATGTAGATTAGTGCCGTGTCGGAGATCAAACCCACGACCTTTACATTTTCAAGTGCTTTAACCACTCGACTACGACACCAACATACGACACTACGACCATACATAAGCATTGACTTTCGTTAGGAGTTTGACATCGTTCGGGTATTCACCTTAAAACTGATGTTATCAGATCACCTGCAGCAGGGAGGTTGGCCTCCCTGTCTTGAGTAACATTCATATATTACGACCATTAGGTTTTAAAGGGATATCTGAGTTTTGGTATTGAGAGTACAGTTTTGGTCTAACTGAATTTTGATAACCAAAACGTGCACCATTACATTGCAAACTAATAGACATTACGTCGGCCTTATGCCAAAAGGGCCTTAACACGATTTTGAGGGTTATTGAGTTATTAACATCACCTTGTAGATTTCAAAATTCTTTTTAAAATGATGTGCTTCACTTGTTGAAATTCGATTTATTTATGAAGATAATTATTAATTTCAAAAGGCCCTTAACACGTATCTCATCTTTTCCTTACGCCAAAAGGGCCTTAACCTACACGGCAAACGTTTTATCAATGACAGATTATTTCGTAATTTCCATTTAATTCAATAAATATCAGTAGAAACACCATTAAAAAACATGATTAGTCTACAATAGACACAATGTACTAAGAATAATCACTGGAAGTATATGTCATGAATTTAGATCATGAATTCTGAGCGAGATTTAAGTTAGATGTGGATGCATGAAATACAACTAACTCATGAAATACGCAGATGTCAACGTATGGGACTGTAATGAAAATACACAACGAACAAGGTGTCCTTAATGTACGATCTCTAAAAAATAACTTCACCGAAAGCTGCATTATATTAATAAAATAATCAGATATCAAAAATACTTTTTCTAAAATTGTAATTAATCAGTTTTCGTGATCCAGTAGCCGTAGCAGGGGCTTTCTGGCAAACCAAAGGTGTTGCGAAACAAGAAAAATTCTTTATGCCAGAAGGGCGCTAACTACGCGCGCGTACGATAACCGCAGGTTAAGGCCCTTTGGGCATAACGCCGCGTAGGTTACGGCCCTTCTGGCATGAATACGCTACTCTCAAGTCATATGCCAAAAAGCCCCTTACATGTTTTTTGCACATAGCATGAAAAATTCTGAATATTTTAAAACAAATTTAACACATTTCATGTAAAACTTAATAACTTAACATATTTATCGAGATTGACTTAAGAAACAAAAAAACTACCACAAACTTTTGATTATTAGAGAGGCCAAAACTTCAAACGCGATTATCTCTTAATGGCCAAAAGCAGTTAAAGCCCTTTTGGTATTGGGCCGATAATTATTGCACCATGCTCTAAAGGAATACAAAAATTACCAACGACTTAGTAACAAGCCTGTTAACAATTGACATGAGCCGTGAAACCACATGGGAGCATTCTCTAAAAAGTCATTGGTTTCAACCGTCTTTGATAATGAAATTTTGCATGTCATGTTTTGTTAAAATAAAAATAAATAGAGAGATCATCAACAACTATTTAAAAACATCTGTTTGAAAAGTATAAGCATGTTCATGTCTTTTACGGCTGGTTAAAAATATCGAACATTTATGGAGCCCATTAATATTAGAAATGGTTACATTTATGGATATTTCAGCCATCTCTGAACCGATTTTGATAAAACAAAGAGGATTTTGTCATGTAAATTGTATGCTCTTTCAAATTTGACACAAATTGTTTTCATTATCTCACAAACTGTTTTTGTTTTTAGCGTCCTCTCTACCAAAACTCAACTATCCCTTTAAATGTATTTGCAGTGCACTTTCCAACAATTGCCCCGTAATAAAATGTCATCATCATACATCTTTCCTCTCCTGGCAACCCACAGAATCTTATAATGTTTCACACTGGTAAAATCTGAGATCTTGAGGATATTTCTTGGTGGGACATCTAGTTTGCTGTGAGCGAAATTGTACGCTCATTAATAAATGGTATTTCCATCAACTCAGGTGTCCGCAAATGATTGCAAACTAAATACACATGGAATCTGCGGAGCATATTCCTATAACTGGAATTCTAGATTTGCCCTGGTTGGTCAGAAAGGAATTCGCCTGCTTTCTGCGATAAATCACGATCCTGACACAGTAAAACGGGCTCAAAATCATCAGAGAGGTTGCGTCTCTAAAGCCCCCATCACACCAAACTAGTTCTCACTACGTTCTCGAAAATGCTGCCAAACGGGCTCAAACTGTGTGCGAACGGAGTTGAACGTAATAGCAACTGTTTGCGACCTGTTTATGGAAGGGCTCGGACTGGACTAATGTCTCTAATACGATCCTAGTACGTTCATTAACAGTCCACAATACGTCCAACTCGTCTGTACCCGTCCACAGTCAGTTCATATCAAGTTCAGATCGGATAAATTTGATATTTCTAAGCAGTCCAAACCATTTTTACTAGTTTGGAACTTGTTCTAACTAGTTTATAACCCAACCACCCCGTTCAGAGACAGTTCAACTCGTCCTCATCTTGTTCTTAGCGCGTTCGAACGCGCTTGTATAGTGCTTTGCAATCCCGTCCTGGTTCGAGTGCTATACAAACCCAGCGCGTTCTTCCTCATTGATGCTCGACCACATCAAGTGGTAACACGTTCCTAGTAGGATCGAAGTACGTTGTCATTCCGTCCAATTGCAGGACGTGGTGAATTTTGAACAGGCTCAAAGTTCTAGACCACCCTTCCCGTCCAAGCCAGTCTGAGCCCGTCCATGAAGTCCTTAAAAAGGTCGTAAATAGTTGCTAATACGTTCACTCCGTTCACACACAGTTTGAGCCCGTTTGGCAAAATTTTCGAGAACGTAGTGAGAACTAGTTTGGTGTGTATTGTATTTATTAAACATCATTGATGTACATCAATATTCTGTTTATAGACATAGTTGGTGTGATAGGTGCTTGACTTGAACTGCAAAGCCTCCCGATTCCCGAGTCAGGACGGGATTGCACACGCTCTAGGAGCGCGTTCGAACGCACTCAGAACGAGATGAGGAAATCTCTGAACGGGGTGGTCGGGTTAAAAACTAGTTAGAACAAGAGGCGAACTAGTTAGAATGGGTTTGGACGTATTGAGAACGAGGTAGAACTAGTTAATAATGGGTTTAAACTGACTACGGACTGGCTTGGACTGCCTAATCTACCGATCTGAACTTAATATGAACTGGCTGTGGACGGGGAACAAACGAGATGGACGTATTGAGGAATGTTTACGAACGAACTAGGATCGTATTATAGACATTTTAGTTTACACATTCTGCCCCGACCACAACCCGTTTTACGATTTTCTAGGACGGTCCCAGAACGTAGTGAGAACTAGTTTGGTGTGATGGGGGCTTTACTAGAATATCATCTTCCCGTTTCTTATATTATCATTAGTAGGACGACAATATAGTGGTAATATCCAAATATGAACCTATAAACACAATGACAGAAAATAAAGTGCAAGAAGAAAGAAGGGGGTTAGGGGTTGCCCAAATAATGATAATTACAAATTCCCAAGCGATTTAGCCCATGAGCCCTTCCCCCCACCCCCCCCCCCCCCCCGTCTTGATTGCCTATGGTTATTGCCTGGTGGACTGGATCAACACTACCCTGAACGAAACTCTGCTGTACTCCTCGATCAGTCATTTGTACTTTATGTTCGGATGGAGACGTTAGTGGTCCGTATAAATACGTATATCTGGCTACTTAAAAAATAATGCCACACTTGTCACTCTTCAACGAGGAGAAGTAAATGGACGCACGGTAAAGAACACTGCTGGAACAACCAATCACGCGTAGGCTTAGGCCAGGGTAACGATGTGTTGCGTTGTACATCAGTAGGCTATTTTCATACAGTGATTGCATTTTAATCGATTTTTAACATTTTCCACTTATAAGTTTCAACTGCGCCACCTGAAGACTTCACAGTGGATAACACCGTGAAAGGAAAATTGGATTATACCTGGAGCAGTCCTCCATGCGGAGACCGGAACGGAGCCGTAAGTTACGACTACGAATTCGGTGAAGCGGGAGGGGATGATGTTCAGAGAGAAAACCTAATAGTGACAAGTAAATCCTTTGAGGATTTAAAACATTACATGATGTACGAGTTTACTGTCTGTCCGAGGACAGTCGTTGGACCGGGTCCCTGCATCTTCATTCAGACCAGAACACTACCAAGCGGTAAGATCCGTTATGATATCCCTGAATACACAGACTGGACGTTATTTCGTTTCATTTTCGTTTTATGTTTACCGATGTGTATGATACCTTGCTTTTGTCATATTTAATGACCAGTTCCAAAATAGCGCAGGAACAGAAGACCTCGAAATATACATGGAGAAGTCCCAAGTTTGCCTTTTAAAAGAATCAAAGCCAAAGTGATGGTGGCGCTCTATTAAACTTATTGTTTGCCCTCTTGAAGAAAAAAAATCCACTATTCGTCCTGATGGTATCACAGGTGTGTACAAATTACATTTATCTGCCCATGCGTAGATAATATCTCAAAAAATTGCCTCTTTGGTCAAACCCTCCCGTCAACAAACCCCCAGTAAGATCCAATTTATTGCTGTGTTTGACTGATTAATCAATTGCTGTATATGCATTTATATTTATTTAATAATACACACTGGATTGGGTCAGTCAAAAAGTTTTTGGCCCGATATTCAGGTTTGTCGACAAACCTAGGTTTTCATGCGTCATATGACGCGTTTCGACGCGTTTTTTTTTAAAAACCTGGTTTGTAAAAACGCGTCGGAGCGCGTCATATGACGCGCGAAAACCTAGGTTTGTCGACAAACTCCTTTGGGCCTATGAATCTGTATATTGTGTTTGGTCTACCAATGTAGGCCTAATATCTAAGCCTTTGATTACTGACATATAGAGATAATTTAAATATGAAGTGATCTGAATAATGTGTTGTATTTTAAAGGTATCGTGGTTCAGTGTAAAACCCTTAGGAATATAAACAACAAAATACGGGTTCGAAGCCTGTCGTAGTACTAATGTCCTTTGTCATGACATTAATCTCCATTTGCCACACTCCACTTTATAGCTGGGGTAAATGGGTACATGGCAGAAATTTATTTCTGAAAATGCTTGAGCACTGTTATGGCAGCTGTGCTAAAGCTGGGTTAATTAAAACGGAGGGCCATGAGCGGTACGAGACTCCACTATCGTTATAAATATTATTATTCCTGAATTTATCATTAGTATCATAATTATATTATTTCATCATCAGGTAGGCTGTATCTAATACAGACCACCTTATAATGTTGTTAAAATTGCCTTTATTATTTCTTTATTTTTCTTATTTCAACCCACTTTTTTGTGAGCAAGATGACTTAAAAATGGTTCAATCAAATACCTTGAAATTTAGCACATATATGTATAGGCTTTAGAACAAAGCACATAAAATTTTTCAACCTTGACCTTGACTGATGACGTCATCTAGGCGCCATTTTGTGACATTTTCTGAAAATCAACTCATGGTCATATTTCATAACCGAAATCCATTTCTCATTCATATTTATTATGATCAAGGTCAATATTAGTCCGGTCAATTTCAGGACAAAAAACGCGCGTGTGCTATTACGTCCGCGCGTCAGTGCGCGCGCAAAATTTTGAAATGCTCAAAATCGTCTTGCGCGCGTGTTTTCGTGCGTAACACCATTTCACAACGTAGAATCGCCATTTTTTTTTCTTTCATGATAAATCTTGTATTTGTTCAATCAATTTGATAATATGTTCATCTCTTTATGACTATTAATATTAAGATGAGCGTCCATTCAAGATAAATGTCCGTGCGCGCGAGCTCTTATAATACATAGCATATATGGGCAAAAACATGCCTATACAAAATCCATTATAGCTCTTTGGAATGCACCGGGATCCTCAATTCTTTTTCATATTCTGATAAAGTATGAGTCGGAGATATGATTTCATGTCTCATTTGGCCATTAAGTGTATCGTGACATCATCACAATGGCCTTGGAACTCAAAATACGAATTTGCATATTATGACGTAAGCATATTTATGTAAAATTGATTGTATCTCTGTAAATATTGATCAATTTTCTTCAAAATTTCGATATGTTGTAGCTAAGACAATTCTCTACTAGCGGAGTATTAACTATTTTTCATTTTGATGACGTCATCATAGTGAAAATCTCGATTAAAGGCCTCATGTCAAACATTTCATAATTTGCGTTATCCCTATAGAAGGTGAATTTCGTTCACGTCATGAAACGACATGATATTGTTTTTTAAGAATTTTTAAGCAGTATCTCGCTTATTTTTGCTCTATTTTGTCTCAAATTTAAGTTGACCAGCCCACCTATACTTGTTCCAAACAAGTATTATATGTCTAGTTATGAATAGTATTATAATATTTTTGTTATCATTATTATTATCATGATCATTGTTATCGTTATTAATATTATGACTATCCATCATTATTATTAATGCAGAACCCACTGGCCCTCTCAATGTCGAAAGCGATTTGGGGTCAACGAACCAGACATATACCATCATCGCCTGGGAGAAACCGGAGTTAATCAACGGTTTATTTTTGAGATACGAGATCCAGAAAGACAATGATGACGTCATCATGATAGTGGAGGAGGAAGAAAGAATATATTCATTCTCAGATTTAGAGCCGAACCAAGAATATGCAATAAAGGTAAATTGCTGCCTCTGCACAGAACTGATTATCGACCCAATTATAGTAGCATTTTTATAAAGATATTACTTTTAAATCGTGAAATTTTTTCTAAATCTCACACGGTTTCAGCAAAGTTTATGCCCCACAAATAAAACACCCTCCTGATATGGATTTCAACACATAAACATTTCGAAATCCTGTTACACAGATACATAAAATACCAATAAAAACTGTTTCAGAAATGAATACCGTCTTCATTTTGTATTTGTCAAATTTGCCTTGTTAGGTACGTGCTGTTAGCAGCGGAGGGAATGGTGCTTGGGATTCGGTCGACGTCACAACACTCCCAATACCAGGTGGGTTCAAGAGTATTTTAGTGAACCTTCGACCCCCCCCCCCCCCCACTCCTGAACCTCTGCATCAGCAAAATTTGAATTAGCAGCCGCGTCAATACCGCTTGTGTTTTGTTTTTTGGAAGCGCCTTTTTTTACAAGTCCTTTCTAGAAGCGCTCTAAAGGAGCTGGATTTATTAATTTCTTATAACAAGTCACCATTTTTTCCTATTACCGTGAATTATTGAGAAATCCTCTGTATGGGATGCTGACATGTCTTTCGAAATGAGACTTGCCGAAAAAACGCCAGTCACTCCCTGAAAACGTTTTTTAGAATGTGCATATCGTAGACGATGTTCGTTGCCATATTTCGAAAAATCATATAAAAAAAAATATTTCCTTCACTCCTGGAATTCACTGAATAATTGGCCGTTTTGAAATGATTACCTTAATAACTTAAAGTAAAGGCAGCCATGAAATAAAACTGAATGCCTCGGTCGGAGTCAGTCAAAATGTAGGGTCAAAGTTTTTTAAGCTTACAACAGCCGATATTTACCTTTTTGGATCATCAGACACACATTCATCTAATGCAAGTGACTATAATACTGAGAAATTGAAATATTAATCAACCACAATTCTCTTTCATGCAACAGAACCAAACACGCCAGAGGTACCGGTTACCACGGCAAAGAATGATACATCAATCTCCATCGAGTGGCCTCTCGTGGATGATACAAATCTAGGAATATACAGGATAACAAACTATACAGTCAGGTATTCAAGTGCCACAGGGGATGAAGATACTATCGACGTCAATTATATTACATCCCCTATGGTATGCACTATCGCGCCGTTAGAACCGGGAACGGAGTACTACATCAAGGTGAGCGAGTAATCTATCTTTTTTATATTCGTCCTTAATCCTATTACGTGTAAAAGTTACGTAAAATGGAAAGGATAATGCTCTTTAGATATGATTAGATTATAATAATAATAATAATAATAATAATAATAGCCTAATAGTCCACTCCAAATTTTATTAAACCGAAACGGAAATTCTTTTTGCCCAATTGATCGTGAGCCCGGCAGCCACTGAGCAGCGCCAGATCGACGTTGCTCTATCCCCTTATTGTTGAACGCCAAACAAGGTAGCAACAACTCCCATCTTTTAACGTCTTTTGGTATGACGCGGCCGGGGTTCGAACCCACGACCTCCCGGTTGTGAGGCGGACGCTCTACTGACTGAGCCAACACTCCGAATATATATGATGTATTACCCAAACAAACTCTTGCTGTGCCGGGGTCATATACGTGACAAACGGACCAAGTATTTACAATCACGCATTTATAAATATGTATACGAAGGTCAATTCATAGAGCATGAATCAAGCATTGTAAGTACAATTATCAAGAAACTAAAACAAAACAAAAACATTTCTGGAGAATAACGCAAAATTGGAATGGGATCCTTACGAATTGTAGGGTTAAAATATAAAATGTTGAGTAACGATAAAGCCCAGAAAAGGGCTTAAAGGAAATAAAGTTATATTTCTCAATAATTTCAATTCATGAAAATGAAACACAATATAGGATTTTTGTACTATAATTACTTTTATATTTTGTATCGTTACAAACAAGAATGGGCTTTTACAAAATCAAACAAGCCAAACCTCATGGGAGAGTTAGACTTAATGGGTGGTATTCTCGAAAGCGGCCTAAGTTAAACCTGGCCTAAGTTAAACCGTGGTTAAGTTAGGCCAGGCTTAACTTAGGCCGCTGACCTAAGTCATTTTCGTTTCTCGAAAGGTGGCCTAACTGATCCATGGTTTAAACCTGGCCTAACTTAGTCCATGGATTATTCACCATGGTTACAGTTTCTGCACATGCTCAGTATAAGCTGCGACGTCACAATGCACTAAGACAATGGGCTAAGACAATGGATGCGCGCAGTGTGGAGAGGATGCATCACCTCGACAACTTGAGCAATATGACGTCCAGGGGCGGCGGAGCGACTTCAAAAGCAGGGGGCAGCATCAACAAAAAGGGCACTTGCTGGAATTGTATCATTGTTAAAAGGGAAATTATCAGAGGTTAAAAGGGTCACATATCGCACCTGAAAAGGGGCATTGAACATATTTTAAAAGGGGCACTTATGAGAATGAAAAAGAGGCACTTAAAAAAAAGGAAATGTGCATTTGTTGAAAGAAAAGGGGCACCGATAATTTTGTTAATAGGGGCACCTCTCAAATTTAAATAGGGCAATTATCAGAGGTGAAGGGGCACTTCTCGTACCTGAAAAGGAGCACTTACTAGAGATTTAAAAGGGCACTGAAAACAATGGAAAATTGACACTTATTGCCAAGGAAAATGGAAACTTGTCAAAGGAAAAGGGGCGCATTTCAAAATTAAAGGGGCACTTATCAGAGGTGAAAAGGGGGAGGGGCACTTCTTACAAAGTTAAAAGGGCACTTACCTATATAAAAAGGGGCATTTGAAAAAGGGGGCACTGTACCCCCCCCCCAACTCTTTCTCCCTATCTCCATCTCTCTCTCTCTCTCTCTCTCTCACACACACACACTATCTCACATCATTGTTTATTTCTCATTTTCATGACATCTCTCACCATTAAATTGTTCTTTCTCATTTGGTTCCCTTTCTCTTTTACTCTATCTCTCTCTCTCGCTGGCTCTCTGTTCTCTCACTGTTCTATTTCCAGACTTTTTCCATGTATAATTCAATGAACCCAACAGTATGCACACTTAAAATCAAAAGATATGAAAGGAATATTGTATATAACATATCAACAATTATGTTCAATTTATTTATTTTTCTTAAAACAGAAAAGATTGTAATTAACGATGAATACGATTATAAAATTGAAGGTCAAATATTAAGCTCCAATAGCCTCATAATCTGCTACTTGAAATTATTAGAATTCAAAGTTATGTATTTGTTACATTACTTTTTCCCATTTTTTAAAAACAAAGCATAGTCTACTTTTGAGCCGTCTTTCTTTTGCAGGGAATCTGTTATATCATGACTTGCACTATATTATAAAACACATTATAAAACATGATTTCTTAAATGACTCAAAAATCACAATTTTTCCAGTGAAACAATAATAATAATAATAATTACAGTGCTTATATAGCTCCTAACACTTACTTTGTCAGAAGTCTCTAAGCGCTCTACAATAATGCAGCATAATTACCCTGGCTTTAGCAGTGCAGCTGTTACAATGAACATCTGATGTACATAAAAACATCCTTATGAGTGATGGTTGCTTTGGGGTTCACACACACAACAAGGACATATCAGGCTTTTTATCAATGGTTGCTTGTTTGTTACCATAGCTTCATGTTATGAGGATCATAATACAAAGGTTTTGATCCCCATGCAGTCACAGTTACAGCAGATAGAGTCTGGTTCATTGAAGAGGCTAAGTAGAACTTCATAGTCCTTGCAAGTATGGCTGTTGAATAAAAAGAGGAAAAAAATGAAAGGAAGCACATTGAAACCTATTTCTGTTAAACATTAAAAAGGTCTTGCATGTACATTGTGACCAAAGTAGACTTACATGCACATTGTGGTAAAAGTGGAGTGCATAATCAATTACTTGAAAGTATTGATGGGAAAATGTGAATGAACAAATGCCCTCCTTGAAGTACCTGGGCATACAAACAACAACTTATTCGTACAGCCTACCTGTCTGAAACTCAGCAGCTCAGTAGTTCTCCTTCCTCTCTCTGAATTTGTCTCAATTATCAGGGAATTTGCCTTCATTTATTTTACTGAAGAAGAACATCATCCTGAAACAAAAATAAAAATGTTTAGACCTCATTAAAATATCAAAGATCTACTCCATTGATAATTGGTCTTAGTTATAGTGTCAATCATATTCTAACTTTAAAAAAAAAATTAAGGCGCCTTTCATGTAGGCAGTGACTAGGCACCCCCTCCCCACTCAGTTACTAATAATCATTGATTTACAGAATGACTACCGGTATCTCTTTTAAAGTCAAGAACAAACATACACATTCTTGCAGTACTATCTCATAAATGTGCTTGCACCAAGTTGTACTTGCCATGTCATGGCCTAAGAAAGCCCTAAGTAGTTAAAGTCTATAGCCAAGTTAGTCCCTTTCCTAAAATCAAGTCTAGAGGATTTTCTTTCGAAAACTTTTCATTAAAAGAATGGTGTTTTTTAGTGACATCCTCACAGAACGGGGCAATTTAAAGCAACAAGGTGACATGAAAAGGTTATTTGAACTAGATGCAAATGATTACTTTAGGATACAGGGAGTGTACTCTTCGTTATCAAAGATAAATATTCCTAAAATAGTTTATACAAATCCATTCAAAAATGATATTACTTCCAATATTATTTTACCCCCCGAGTTGATATGCTTGAACAGAATAAAAAGCAAACAATTTTATGATCTGTTGATCGCAGAGAAATATGAATGCCCAGTCAGTACGTTTAGACTAAAGAATAGATATGATGTTTCAGATACAGAATTGTTATTGGCTCGTTCAGGTATCATTTCAACTACAATTGATGTAATTTACAGAGAATTTCAGTTTAAGGTATTAAATAATATTCTGAATTTGAATTATAAACTGTATAAAATGAAAGTCATTAGTTCCCCATTATGTTCTTTTTGTGACATGGAAAATGAAACGATTGAACATTTTTTTTGGAAATGTACAATAGTACAAGATTTTTGGAATCAGCTCGGAAAAGAGCTGACTATGTTTGATTTCTCGATTTTAACCGAAAAAACGGTAATTCTTGGTATATTGTCGAAGAATTATATTCTTTTTAATCATATATTAATAATTGCAAAGAAAACAATTTACCTAAATAGATGTAAATTAGTTAAACCAAATATTTCTAACTTCATGTCCTTATTGATTAAATCATATAAAATGGAGAAATACATTGCTATACGCAATGACAAAGAAGCTGCCCATGACAGCAGGTGGCAGGGCATGGCCCAATGGATATCTACTGTCAGATAAGAAAGATTTTTTGTTGTTGTTGATAGGTTAATAAGCTGTAACGTTCAATGTATTATGTAATCAAATGTTCATTTTCACTGGTGTGTGAATAATTTGTCAAATCAATGTGCTGTGAAGTGACCACAAAATAAAAAAGACAATTTCAATACAAAAAAAAAAAAAAGTCTAGAGGTCTACATCTTACTTAGATAACCAACCGACAGTTGGCCTAACCTAGATGTAAACGCAGCCTGGGTTGTAGATTTTACAAGGCCCTAATCGTTAGAGCCCAACTTTTCCATTTTAGTTCAATCTAACATTAGACCAAAGATTGTCTTATTGTTTATGTTATCTCCCAAAATGAGCTTCGTGAAAGGGAAAAAAGTAAAATGAAAATTTACTGCACTGTACTTTACTGCAGTCTGTAGGTCGTTAAGTCTTATATGGTCTAGAATTGTTAGCGGTAGGTTTGAATTTTCTTCTGACCCAAATTTTAAAGTAGTTAATCAACTGTTGATTATTTGTGTCGTATTTTCAGAGATAGTTCCTCCCAAAAGTCTAGACCAAGCTGTCACTGTCAGGAGTGACTGGTAGCCATGGCAATCGAGCTGAAAATATTAGCTCGTGCCTATGTAAAATGAATAAAAGTTTGAGTGTAGTTTGCACCTACATTCATCAGACAAAACAATTTTAAATCACTTCATAATGTACCTGTAGACACATCTGCAGATTCATGAAATCAGCAGATCTTTTTTAATAAAAATTGTATAAACATGATTTAGTTTACAAAATTTAGGAGTAATTACAGCTTTACTCACCAGCAGACTTTCCAAGAAAAATGGAGTATCTATTTTTCCTGTTCAGGAAATAACTGGTGTTGGGCCAACTGGCTTAAAGACGCCTATGTGGGTGCAATCAATAGCACCGACCATATTAATGCCAGGGAAATGGCAGTAATTATAAAAATTCATGTTGGGTCTGCACTCTGCAGGACTGCCTCTCTTGTTGAAGGAATTGAGATGTATTGGTCCGATCTCCTGGCAATGGCTATTGAGATGGACTTCACAAGGCGGGACACCGTAGCTTGGGAGAGGCCTTCTTTTTTCATCCCCATGCATCAATTGAAAAGAACCTGAAATAGCAGAAAATCAAGATGAAAAATATGTTGATATTTGATAAGAAATTACAATTTCTCTTTCTCTGTAGTTTACTAACTAATAGGGCAATTCCACGGTAACGGAAGGACACTCAGACAAGATTTTTGAACTTCAGGTTCATACTAAAAGAACTGTTTTATTAGTATAAGATGTGAAACAGTATAGATATAATACCTATATAAGTGCCTTTAATTTTCACACAAAAAATTGTCATTATAGTTAAGTAGTTTAAGAATGTGCATATTAATTATCTCGGTAACGGAAGGACATAAAAATGGACATGGTTTTTCCAGTTAATTAGTGTTTATCCAAACTTTGTGAAGTTGATGAAGCTTCCCACTTGACTGAAACACATTTTGTTCCCCATAGTTTAATACATACTAATAAAACATTTCTTTTAGTATGAACCTGAAGTTCAAAAATCTTGTCTGAGTGTCCTTCCGTTACCGTGGAATTGCCCAATAGTATTATTAGACTAAACTACTGTAACATTATCAGCAAATGTATATCCAAAAAAAGGAAGCTTCTGTCCATTTCCTTTCAATTTCTATTAGACCTGTCTAGACTAGACTCTTATTGATGAAATTTACATCTAGGTCTATTAATATTGTTTTAAAAAAAATGTTTTCTTGGGGGGGGGGGGGGTGGTTATGAAAATCATCATCATCCTGTATAAAATTATCGCACCAACAGCCACAACTAGCACTGCAGCTCAGGCAGAGGTGATACCAGACCGAAATTTCTGTCTCTTTCGTTTGTTAGCCTCTGATTTGGGTAGGGTCGGCTCCTGAAAGAGAGGAGCCGATGTTATGTTTAGAAACAGGTTCATTGAAACTAACATGCAATTGAAATTAACATGCCACTTAGAAATGCACTGCAGCTGTTAAGGCACAGTTCATTGTTATTCATATTAGATGCATACACACAATGCAAGTGTATGCAAGGGTCTTCTGTTCACTACATTATACATGTAAAAGCACATGGATATTGAGTCTGGATTAAACTACCAAAGCAACCACACGTGTTTCTGCAGGCTCCATTTTGTTTGTCTCTATACTTACATTTATTTAGCTTAATAGACCTAGTTATTACTTTCCAACCCACATTACAACAGCCGACACTACACAAATCAGAGGCTAACGAACGAAAGAGTCTGCTAGTCCACTTTTAGGCAACAGCGTCTCGAAAATCCACTATAAAAGTAGATCTACGTCTAGCAATGATAGTTTTAAGGTGGTATATGCGTACGAAAGGACAATAGTGCCAAGAAAAAGAATTACCCGGTAAGAAATTGCTCAATCTCAGGAAACGAAAATGTTAACCGACAATTATTTGCACGTATGGGACTGGTCTGCGAACAATGTGAACATTTACCAAGTTTCCTCCAAATTTATTCAGTTAAAAGCATTTTAGATTATCACCAGTACAGCAACATGAAAGTTACAAAAATACTTTAATAGCTGGTGTAACTTTCATGAGCGCTTATCCATACAAAAGAGTGCAAATTGTTATCAAATATAGAAATTCAAATGCAAAACTTACCGTTCACTCTCCGCGGACACTCGATTTAACTAAAACGTGACGTCACGCGAAGTTAGGCCGAACTATGACGTATTTAAACCTGCCCTCTGAGCGGCCTAAAGTTAGGCCGAACTATGACGTATTTAAGCCTGGCTTATCTTTAGGCGGCCTTCGAGAATAGCAAAAAAGATAGTCCATGGTTTAAACCAGGTTTAGGCCACTGATTTAACTTAGGCCGCTTTCGAGAATACCACCCAATATCTTTTTTAAAGTGCGATTAGGCATAATATTATCCATTACAGATTTACGTTTTTTCATTAATAAAGTCATATGTTATTGATGATACAGGTTCGCGCTGTCAATGAAGGAGGACCCGGGGGCTGGTCTGAAAGTTTGACTGAATCTACCGACCAAACATTTACTACTTGTCCTGACCGTAAGTTTCCAGTTTAGTATTGCATACTCTATACTTTAAATACAAACATTCTTAAATTTGTGTTCACCTTCCTAAACTGCAGCTTATCGCAATACTATAAATTATCTCAATAAAGTAATTGCGGAGTATAGTATAAGGGGAGATTTTCCTGGGGTTTATTGTTCTAGAACCGGTTAATAATAATGTCATTTTCATGACATGCGCCTTGTGCATGACTATCCCAACGTAGATATTTTTGCGTGACGTCATCAAGGCGCCATTTTGTGAATTTCTGTTATTGACCATATTTCCGTCATTTCTGAGTGGTATTCGATATGCATGAACTTGACGTCAAAGGTAAATTTTTGGTTACACCCATGTCCACGCACGCGCCATGACGGACGCGTACGCGTGCGTAAAAAAATCAAATTGGTCAAATGCTTATTGGTTTCTGAATGTTTTTTTAACATTACAATTTTGCGCGCGCGGACACATGCACGGGCGATTTCGCATGCGCTGTCGGTACTGAATGTACTAACAGGGGCGTCGCCAAAGGGGGGGGGGGGTTGTGGGGGTGCGACACCCCCCCCCCCCCCACCTGTCAGGATATTGTCGGTAAAATTGCGCTGCCGTCGGGAAAAAAGAGAAAAGGGGGAGGGAGAAAAAGAGAGGGATAGGGGAAAAAAGACAACAAGAAAAGGAAAAGAAAAGAAAGAGAGGAAAAGAAAGGAAAGAAAGAAGAAAGGAAAGAAAAGAGAAGAAAGAAAAAGAAAAAGAGGGAGGAGAGGAAAGAAAAGAAAAGAAAGAAAGAAAGAAAAGGAAAAAAGAAGAAAAAAGAGAAAAAGGAAACAAAAGAAACGGGGGATGAAAGAGAGGAAAGAGAGGGGAGGTAAGAGCCGGAGGAGTGGCAGTAAAAAACGGGGAGGGGGAGGGGGGGGGGGGGGTTTGTTTGGTGGAGTCGTCACGTCGAGGGAGCAAGAAAGACACGGGTAAATATGTTGCTGTGTCGGGTCAGCTCTGTCGGTGAGTCGGTGAGATGTATATTGTCGGTCGGCCGACAATTTTTTTTTTTCTGTTTTTGGTGACTTTTTAACCACTCTGACGACTTCGAGAGTGACTGCAATTACGATACTTGTATTTTCTCGAAGTTTCACTTTCCTATTATATCAGCTAAAGAAATCAGAGGTTTAACATTTTCGGGGAAATTAAATTCAAACGAGGATTAAGAGTCAAGAACGGTTCGACGAATTCTCTTCTTTTCTCTATATTTTGATGAAACTTCATTTAGACGAGTCGAAAACTGTACAACGAATCGTCTGCTTTCTCTAATGATTTAAGGAAATGTAAAAAGCTTCCGCGCTTCGCGCGAGAGGGGGGAAACTGATTTCAGCCAAATAGGGCTTATTTAGAGTCGAAAACGGTGCAACGAATCGTCTTCTATCTATAATAATTAAATCATACATCAAAGCTTCCGCACTTCGCGCGGGAGGGGGGGGGAACTGGATTCAGACAAGGATTAAGAATCGAGCACGCGTTCAACGGAATCGTCTACTTTCTCTAATAATTTAATGAAACGCCAAAACTTCCGCGCTTTGTGCGGGAGGGGGAGAACTGAATTCAGATAAGGATTAACAGTCGAGAACGGTACAATAAATCGTCTTCTTTTCCTAATAATTTAATAAAACGTAAAAATTTTCGCGCGGAAGGGGGAAACTTCATTTAGACAAGGATTAATTAAGAGTCGAGCATGGTTCAACGAATCGTCTACTTTCTCTAATATTTAAATGAAACGTCATAATTTCCACGCTTCGCGCGGGAGGGGGAGAACTGAATTCAGATAAGGATTAAGAGTCGAGAACAGAACATCGAATCGTCTGCTTTGTCTCATAATTTAATGAAACGTCTAAGCTTCGCGCTGGAGGCCTATCACCCACCCCCCCCTCCCCTATTGAGCGAGCTTCGCGCGCTCTTTAAGTGATTTGCTTGCTCACTATCGCCCCTCCCTAAAATCAGATCCTAGCTCCTCGCCTGCATTAATATATAGCTATGATGCTGACTTGTTGACGAAATAATTGGTTTATTTATGTCGTCGAGGAAAATGACCTTTTGGGCATACGCAAGTACTATAGATAGTCCATAGGAGAAACAATTTAGCCTTCGGCCCCGTGTTTATACGGTTAAATTTGTAGATATTGGAACATTTAATTTTGTTGGTAATTGGTGGCTAGTTTTGTCGGTTATCGTTGGCCTCTACCTCCCCCCCCCCCCACACACACACACACACACACACACACTGAAAAGGGTCTAGCGACGCCCCTGTACTAATTGAATTATTTACTTGTATTGTGTTGCTGATACTAATCTTAGCAATTTGAAACCATTTCAAGCCATTGTTGACCTCAATTTAGCTCCAAAATATTCGTTATACCCCCGAATTTGTTTAATATGCAAATGTGCCTAAAATGGTTTTAAAAAGTACCCGTTTTTAATCCGCTATAATTCTTTAAAATTGCTAATTACACCCATTTTGTCTTCCATGTTCTAAAAGGGTTTGAATCGGAGATGCGATTTAATGTATCACGTTTGCTGTTAAAATGCTTTGACTTCAACATAGTGCCACTTTAGATGTAAACATTGAGTTCGCGTTATATTTCCGCCATGGGACCTTTGACCTACAAGAAAGACCTACTCATTAAATAGAGATTAATAACGCACATTGTTAATTGTTAATTGTTAATTTGACATACTCGTTTTAAATATCATGTATAAAATTTCACTAAGAGAAAGGTGGTGTATTCACCAAATGTGTAAAATAATGCATTTATTACATATATTCTCTTGACTGAATGAATGAGCTACGATTTCTACTCACTATACTTAGTTTCGTTTTTTGTGTTGCTTTGTTGTTTCCTCTTTCATTTGCAGATTTTCTTGTTCCAGGAGTGCAAATAGGCCTGATTGTAGTTGTTGTAGTCATTTTGCTGTATGCAGTTGCTGTTACTTTCCTGCTTATTCAGCTCAGGTAATTTTAGGTTAATGCAATTTATTTGAGCCCTGCATTTCACCTTTTACGAGTTATAAATAGACGTAATGAACAACTGCAGAAAGGTACTACCATTGACCATTAAAGAGCTGTCTCCTAATATGCACGATACAAATAATGAGTTGTTTTAAGGGTTATAGCACTATGAATTTTTAAATCGATAATTAAAGCTTTGAGAAGATATAAACATTTATCTATCAAGAGTAAACCATATTGTCAGAATCATTTTTCTAAAAAAGAGAGAAAATAATTATTCCAATTTAATGGGTTAGAGTGTAAAAGAAATATCAATTTGGAAACAAGTATCTTTAAACTTGAGTCTTCTCAATCTGGAAACGTTCCCTTCTATTTAAGAATCGTCCTTTCCCATTTTGATAATTTTCATAGAATTTATAACTATTTGAGTCTAAAAATATGATACCCCAATGATTGGAATTTGTTGTATTTATTAGAAATATCATGAAAATTTCACTTGATTTATGATCATACTAATATTAAATGATACTAAAAAAAAATCAGATATAAAAGAAATTATGTAAGATTTAATACATGTATTTATTGTAAAGGCCTATAATGATTACATATTCTTACATTTGATAAATATGATATTGTCTTATTTTTATATCGTTTTAGTTGTTCAATATAAAAAAATCATTCATATTAATAATACTGACAATAATATTCGGGATATAAAATGCATCGAAGATGTCTCTATAAGCACTTCACAGATAAGTATTTCTCCGGTATTGGGATTCAGGTTTGCCCGCACACAATGTATCCACTTTCTCCATTCCCTGGGGAACATTTCAGGCAGGCGCTATTTCAAAAAAGCTCACAATGCTTAGCACTGAAAACTATAATGACTTTTGCATCCTACTGGGTATGTCCATTTAACACCTGGGTGGAGAGTGGTGAATGTGGATTAATATGGATTTATTCATGTGATTTTTGTATAATTATGTAACAGACGCAAAGGACCAATCAGGACTGAAGAGAACGGACAAGATCCTTACATGGACCTAAGACCCAGATCCGAGGCAGACAACATATACCAGGAGATCGCTATCACCTCAACGACTTCGTCCCAAAAACCAGGAGAAAGACGTCTACCATCATCAGACCTGTTTCATAAGAACCAGAATGTTGAGCAGTTTGCAAACACAACACAAGACGATGCTGGTTATGAACTTGTACTAACCCCAAATTAAGACAACTGGAAGCTTTAGAAAAACACAATTTGCTTTTCAGCAATTATATGTCTCTTGATTTTCAATTACAGGGAACAACATTAATGGATTTATCGAGTAATTCTGTTTTGAAGGCAATACAAAATCTCTCAAAATGTCTTAATTAAATGCTAAACATTGGCAAAAGTAACTGGGAAAAGGGCATTACTTTTCCACAAAGAAGTTACAAAAAGTTGTTAAGAATATAGCTTGTTGTTCTAAAAATATACAGGTCTACTCTTAGTACTGTGGATGTACTGCTTTGATAGGAATATTGTAATCAAACGCTGCAATACAAAGGAAAAACTGTAAATGAACCAAAATAAATTGCAAATATTTTCATGACATTTTGTCAACATTAGAGAAAACCTAATTGAGTCCATTCCTGACTCTAATCATTCATTCTCTGATTATTTAAAAGGTAACTTTGTTCACAGTTTATTTTCCAAACCAGTAACTGTCACTGAAATTTAAATATTGTTAACACATTGCCTAGGGGGAACAGTTTGGGGTATGCATAAGTACACGTCTTTTAAAGGTACTAAGTCCCATTTGCAGGCCCAAAAATGAAAAGGTCAAATTCCAACGGCATTTGAAAGATAATACTGATTTAGAACTTCCCTAAAAAAAAGGTGGTGCTTGGAAATGTCTTTAAGTGGGAAATAACGACTATAAGTTGTCGAATTGACTTAAGAGCTATAGAGCCAGTAAGTAATAGACTGATTTTCAGACCGTTGTACCAGATGGTCGTACTTTTTATGCTGCGCAAAGATTCAACCAGTTTAATTTTGGCCATTACAAGTAGTGGGTTATTGATTTAGACAAATGATCATGTACCTCTTACAGCTCATTTTATGTATGTTATTACCAAAGAAGAAAAAGACCATTCGGTCACTTAATAGTGTCTGACACTCAATAGTGCCGAAATATTAGGACACTGCAATTCATGCTAACTTTTAAATTTCACAGATAGGACATACATGACATATTCATAATTCCCGCAAAATTCTATAGAATTTGATGTTGGCTGCAGAAGGGACACATAATTGCTCCGTTTAGTCTCATTTCACAACGCCCCCTATCATCAGAGTCAGCAGCCTAACATGTTAGTCTATGGAATTGTACCCAAAAAATCGTTAAAAATTCATTTTTTTTTTGTTTAAACGAAAGGACATCCACCCCGACGTACGTTATCACTAGCTCTTTCATTGGAATCCTCATGTCTCATTGACTTTTGAAAGTTCACCCACCGTAATTTGATCAAAATAGGTTGAAAGCTCATCATTGCCTATAATACACATGTGAAACAAGTCGAACTTTGGACTCAGTTTGCCTAGCCATTTTGATATTATAGGTCAAGCACACGAAGGATAAGAAGTATGAATTATCATAGATCTCTTCTGCTTGGTTCATTTAGTCCATTTCATCCAACCCCCCAACGTAACTTTTCCATTTAGTAAAAGCAAACATTTTGCAGAGGTAAGCAAAAACATGAATATTCATGAACGGTCAGACAATACAGCCTTTTAGTACGTAACGTATAGTGAATGGGAATGGGCGATAACCGTCCAGGAAGTAGAGGTCAGTGGTTTGTGCTGGCAATGTTCCAGCGAGCGAAAATGAGACAACCGGAGCCATATGTAGTATCTTTAAAGTCTGTAATAAATGTTGTACTCGTACCTTTCAGTACTTAGTAAAAGTGCCCCTTCCCCCTTTTCACCTCTGACGAGTGCCCTTTTTATTTTTGACACGTGCCCCTTTTCCTTTGACATGTTCCCATTTTCCTTTGCAATAAGTGTCCATTTTCCATTCTCATGAATCTTGAAATTATCTTGAATAAGTGCCCTTTTTAATCTCTAGTAAGTGCCTCTTTTCAGGTACGAAAAGTGCCCCTTTTAACTTTTAATAAGTGCCTCCTTCACCTCTGATAATTGCCCTATTCAAAACGGAGAGATGCTCCTTTTACTTTGACAACTTCCCCTTTTTTCCTTTGTAAGTAGTGCCCCTTCTCCTTTTAATAACTAACCCTTTTTTAAACTCGGATGAGCACACCTTTCATTTTAACATGTGCCCCTCTTATTTTCTAATAAGTGCCCCTTTTCCTTATGATAAGTGCCCCCATTAAAAAGAGAGAGCTCCTTCCCCTTCTCATACTACCCCTATCCCTTTCTAATAAGTGCCCCTTTTCCTTATGATAAGTGCCCCCATTAAAAATAAAGAGCTCCTTCTCCTTCTCATAACTGCCCCTGTTAAAAATCTGAACGGTGCCCCCTTTTCATTCAACAAATGCACATTTTCCTTTATTATAAGTGCCCCTTTTATATTTTCATAAGTGCCCCTTTTCATATCTGGTCAGTGCCCCTTTTCAACTCTGATAATTTCCCTTTTAATAATGATACGTGCCCCTTTTCCTTTCTAATAAGGGACCTATCCCCTTTTCACCTCTTATAAATGCCCCTATCAAAATCTGATGGGTGTCCCTTTTTCGTCAACAAATGCCTATTTCCCATTTTCGTAAACGCCTCTTTTTCATCACTGGTGAGTGCCTCTTTTCAGATGAAAAAATGCCTCATTTTCACCTCTTATAATTATCCTTTCGATAATTGTCCTCTTTTCATGTAATCATTAAACGTGCCCCTTATTTAAAGCGACTAAGAGCAATTTTCCCCAATATTTGCTCGCTGCGCTCGCTCGCATTTAAAGATGATATAATATGTTACTTATCAAAGGTCTTTTCAGTCTTCCTTCATGAGAATGTGCTCATAACCCCATCACGATTGGCATTTTCCTCTTTCTAATATGTAACTTTTCGCACTGCGACCTCTAAAATCTTTAAATTTTTCTCACTCGCTTCGCTCGCTCGTAAATGCATATTCAGATATCACACCCAACTGTAAAGTATGATTCTTAAGCGATATGTGGTATGATGTATGAAAAGAAACACATATTGAAATCATCCCTGATAATGTAATCACAATGTAGGGGTATATACCAATGTCTAAAAAATTGCATAGTTTCGCTTTGAGATTTCCCACTGTAGGTGCCCTTCTTTTCTTCCAGAAAGTGCCCTTTTTTGTTGGTGCCCCCCCCCCCCCACTTTGGAAGTCACTCGGCCGCCCCTGGTATTTTTAACACATATTTGTAATCTGTCGCTTAAGAATGCTGATTTTCGTTCAAACATGAAAATCGCCAAAGTAATTCTTTTGTTCAAAAAGGGAGATACAGATTATGTTGATAATTACCGTCCATTCTGCCTTCTTTTTCTAAAATACTTGAAAGATTAGTTTTTAATAGACTATAATTTTTTTTGGTTCGTTTCAACATTTTGTCTAATAAACAATATGGCTTTCGAAAAAATTCTTCCACAGGTCTTGCTATTCTTGATTTATATGATAAAATAGTCCATTATGTTGATGTAAATAATCATACAATATGTGTTTTTATGGATTTTTCGAAAGCCTTCGTTTCTATACCCCATGATATATTATTAGTTAAATTACATTTTTACGGTGTAAGTGGTTTACCTCACAAATAATTTCAAAGTTATCTTGACGAAAGGAAGTAATTTACATCTGTAAATTCTCATTGTTCTTTTTTAAATCCCATATCATATGGCGTCCCTCAGGGCTCTATTTTGGGGCCTCCGCTAGTTTTGATATACATCAATGATATTGTAAACTGTTCCACTTTCTGTAAATTCACACTTTTTTGCAGACGATACGAATATTCTTGCCTCATAAAAAAAATATTAACCCATAAACTGAAACTTAATTTGGAGTATGTATACGAATGGCTGGTTTGTAATAAGCTGTCTTTGAATGTTTCTAAGACTAAATTTGTTATTTTCAAAAATGCTAGGAACCTAAATCCTGTACATGACAATGTATCTATTTCTATCAACAATAGATTAATTGAACAGTGTAGAGTTTTTAATTACCTTGGAGTACGTTTCGATGAAAACCTATCTTGGACTTCTTATATTAATTATATTACCAAAAAGGTTTTCCAGAGCGTCGGTTTTATCATTCACTTAAGATTTGTTATCCCACTCCGTATCTCATTCACGTTATATAATGCATTTATTTTGCCATATATTATGTATTGCAATTATGTTTGGGTGACGAAACATCCCTCTAAGTTACTCAAATTACATAGACTTCAAAAAAAGGCATTACGACTCTGCTGTAATCCCCCTTTCTTAGCTCCCTCACAACCTTTATTTAGAAGATTCAATAATTTACATATTTATGATATTAATCAATTGCAAATTGCGTCATTGATGCAACGATTTTCCTCGAACTCACTACCTCCAAACCTTATGCACCTATTTAGTCTCAACAATGCGGTCCATACCCACTACACTGATAAATTCCATCATTGGAATGCTTCGTCCAATATACTGACCGATTCTCTCCGTTATGTTGGTTCATAAATGTGGATTCCCTACCTCCATTTTTACAGTCTATCAGATTTAATGCTCCATTCAAAAGACTTTACAAGAAAAATCTTCTCTCTCCTTATAATGCATAATTTATTTTAAGACCACGCCTCTAATACTAATACCCCCCCCCCCCCTTTTTTTTTTCTTCCATTTTTCCCCTTCTTCCAAATGTATGTAATTATTACTTCTGCGCCTGGTGCATGCAATATTTATTGTCAAGGCTTACTGGCTTTTACAGATGCACCATTTTCCATTTGTACTATGGTTTAAACCTTCAAATTTTCCTTATATTTTGAATGCTGTTATGTCAATTTATATGTAATTTTGATATTGTTACATGTTATGAAATTCCATATTTTATCTTTGTATATACAGTATTGTCATGATGATAGAAATAAATTCCACCTCAATTTTCAAGTTATTATGTATAAAATCTTGTTTACCATGCCGTAGGACCTAGTTATACATAATCAGACGTCATTGTATTAAATACGGTACATATATTGCTTTGCACTTATTTACATGTAGTAGTGTTGTGCTCGTTTGTACGTTTGTGGGGGATCTTCCGGGGTTAGTGTGTACTTGTCATTGTCCTAGAGGCGGTGTGTAGTTGTCGGAGGTAAATTGTACTACGGTTGGTGTCCGGGGGGCAGGTGTCAAGTTGATAAACTTTATTCGACCCCTAATATGTATGGAAAATATTTTTCTTATACTGTGAATATGAATGATGTTATACCGGGAGCTTAAAACCATTCTACATTTTCTTTATCAATCATGGACAATGTACCATTTATTTACATCACCACGTATCATAATCTAACTCTTCAAAGCGATTGTTTGAGCAATTTTTTTTTGATCAACCATGTATCATTTATATAAATAACCATATATCATAACGACATAACCATTTAATCCTTGAACCGATGAACGGCATATCTGTATCCGTCGATTCGACAACTAATGGCCGTTTTTCCCACAAAAAGACAATTTCAGCGATTGCAATCACCTAAGTAGTACAGACCCTTGTACCGAATGGTCGTATAAGTTTTGTGCTACGCAAAGATTCAATCAGTTCAATTTTGGCCATTACAAGTAGTGGGTTGTTGATGTACATGTATTCAAATGCTCACGTACCTGTTACAACTCGTTTAATGTATGTTATTACCAAAGAAGAAACAAGTCAGTCAGTCCCTCAATATTGTCTGACAGGGAAGTCTACAAAGTAAACGGGTTTCCTTGCATAGTCTGGATACTAGGACGCTGCTAACGTTTAAATTTCACAGATAGCTGACATATTCATAATCCCTGCACAGTTCTACAATATCTGTTGTTGGCAGTAAAAGGGACATAGTATTTTTAAACTGTGTTTTCAGCCTCCTAATATCATCTCATTAGCGTATTACAGACATAGGAAAACGTGTAGTTGTGAAGCGTGTTTTATAAAACTGCAAAGAAAAGGCGCTTTATCAAAATACTCTTTGGATCTGATCGTACTGGATACCTCATCTTCTATGTTTTATTAGGCTATAAACGACTATAAAGTTCTCCTACAACTCAAAGCTATTTGATATCGATCTTCAGTCTCAAAATAATTTCAAGGCGGGGAAATAGATTTGATTTTTTTAAAATATTTTGTATACATGATCTCATTTTATATCAATTTAGCATTTTCGACTTAATTCAACGAAATATACAAAGAAAAAAATAACTGCAACTCAAACTCAACCAAAGGAGAGAAGAAAAAAACAGTTCAAGAAATCCGACCATAAATATTTCAATTTTTAATTGCAAATTCTACATTTACAGATTATGTTCAATAAAACTCTTACAATAAACATAAAGAGAAACAAAAATGAACTTCAACCTTAGAGTAAGTATTGCTCTTTATCAGGAGAAATTATTTATCACGAATGTCCGAATACTGAATAAATTTTAAGCTGCTATCAAACGGGAATTATATATATATTTTTAACGCAACAGGTTCAGTATAATTCTTGAAACATGTTTTGCTCAGCATGTCTCCTTGGAATAGACTACACTAGTAATCATATCTTGAATAAGCGTATCAGTTTTAGGTCAACAATGATCTAATTATTTTAGTTACTTTCAATTAATTTGTTTGATTTATGAATTAATTACATTATATTTGTCGATAATGTAGTTTGACTTTATATTGAAACGGAAAACCAAACAAATCAAATCAAATCAACGAATGCAAAGCTTCGACAGATTACAAGGAGATTTATGTCAGTGTTTTTCTTTACCTAAATGAACATAAGATTGAAATCATTCAGAAACACTGCAAAAGCATGCTGTCTATCAAACGGTAACGGTCGTATACAATATCGTCTCTAAGATTTAAAGAGTGGGTAATGTTTAAATGTAATGCAATTACAGAAAAGAAAACGATTGGTCATAGATTTTCTTCCCTCAATCTAAAAAGATCCAAGAATATAAGTTTCACTTTGATCGGTAAAGCAAGTACACAACCAGGCATATATTAAGAAAGAACGAACATATAATTCTGTGTAATAGTTACTTAAAAAGCGTCAATTTTTTTCGCATGTCAGTAGCAGCAAAAATAACTTTAAACAAAGAAAAAAAACTCTTCCTTGAAGTTTTCCTACCATGACGTTTTCCTACCATCAATTTAAAACATGTTTCGTTTCTCCTGCTACAGACTAGACAAAAAGACTTATATTTCTGTGTAATCATAATATTATAAAGTAAGAACCATACAACCCAAAGAGCCGGGTATAAACACGCTGTTTTAATATGTAACATGCGTGTAGTTTCTGTTTAACATTCGACTAATAAAAGTCTTAAAAAGCAGTTATTCATACTATTTATCATATATATATGTTTCAGATATTTATAGCAGTGTTTCATTCGGCTTTTTTTGTTGAAAAAAGAAGAAGATATCAATAAAATAAGACAAAGAAAACCAGTCGGTAGCGGTAAACTAGAAACATATACAACATTTTAAAAAGCCATTAAATCGGTAACAGTATGCAGTGGCAGATCATTAATTTCCTTTCAGTAAAAAGATGGGGGTGGTTGCAAATCCGGAAAAAAGTAAATGGTAATACAATTTAGAAGCACATGCTGCATGTGTAATTAGGGTAAACCTTAATGCGGTTTTTCGGTGGGGGATGTACTTGTCTGCTTGTTATTGATACTCGATTGTTCTAACCGATTTGGAATTTAGGATTCAATGAAACGCCCAATCAAACATTTAGACTGCAATTTCTTCAATAACTTCACATCAGAACTGCCTTAAACCTGTTAATCCCAGTCACCATAACCTTCCACTAGAAGAACCATTGAGGACTTCCTTCTAAACAGGTTCCTATAAGTTACTCAAATTTCATGTCGGGATTCGAATTAATGACCTCAATATAAGTGACTGTATCCTAACACATCACAATGGCGCATTCTTATATTAATACTATAACTCTGGGAATGTAACTGAAAGCAATGTATATATAAATAAATTGTACGCACTGGTGCGTGACGGCTAGAACCCATTACCCTAGTATGAAGTCAATTCAAACGTACATGTAAGCAATGTCAATATAGGATAAACCATAATAATATTTTATATGCTACCATTATAGTTTAAGTATAAAATGTGGTTTATAAGGTGAAAGGTTCACATGGTTTTAAAGATTTTGTTGAAAATTCGTTAGTGGGAATACTAGAAATATACAGATAGGAAAAACAGTTTAATACGCAAAGTGAAAAATAGAGAGTTTGAGAAAATGGGTGAGCCTACAAAGAAAAGAGATGGAATACAAATATGACAAGGGGTGTCTGGAGAGGGAGAGTTAAGGGAAATGAGAGAGATTGAAACAGAGAGAGAGAGAGAATGAAAAGAAGATTTGTTCTATTGTTTCTATCCATATATATTGTATGTAATGTCATCATCAAATAAAATGACCGGAAGTATTACCCAATTCAATACAAAAGCTACACAAAGTAGTACATGATATCCAATTTATGACTGTACACAAAATACATGTATATTAATTTAACAAATGTTATATCAATATCCTATGAAGCGAGTGAATTGTTTGCAGTACCATCAACAAAGTATTATCACAATTAAAGAGGTAACAAAACTAAGAGTCGTAAAATTCTGTAATGTAACAGAAAAGGCACAATTTAGCCTGCTTATAGAAGCTTTCCTTCAATTTGCTAATAGGGCTATTCTACTGGCAATTTTGGCTTGAATGGCTTGAAATTTAAAGCACAATCCGAGACGTAGTCGTCTGTTTCTCACATATAGTTTGCGTATGTTTGTACAGAGTCTTGATAAGCTGCTAAGACATCGTAACAGAATTCATATCGTTCCTGCAAAGATGAAGAGTTAAAAAAAATCAGAACATTTACGTCTTGGCAAACATCATAGGACTCAAAATAAATGAATATCAAGGGTAAAACAACATCTTGAAATTTATCTCATGAAACCCTTAATATTTGTTGTACGGGAGATTCCCCGAATACTTTACAATTTACGTACATTTGTCATTTATATGGTTAACTTTAATAATAAAGTTGACAAATCATAGAATAATGTGAAATCGGGGATGCCAACAATAATATGAATTATATATTTTTTTAAAACTTTTTTTTCTCTTTTAGCCTTCAAAGCAGACTGAATAAAACTGGTCGTCTACTTGGTCTTAGAGCAAATTGAAATTTATTTTTCATAAACAGTGTGAATTACTCTTTAAAAGGCTGCTTTCATAGCCTTGTGACGGGATATATTGTTTTTCTATCAGTTATCTTGTTGCACGATTTAGTCATGATGGATTTATCGGTTAAACATGTTTAGGTACAATAATATCTTACATTCTATTAAATCGCGCAGGGGCGACACTCCTCATTTGTTTATGTTGGCGAATTTTACATTTGTATTGGCAGTCGGTAAATCTCAAAAGCTAATGACTTTTGTTTTTCCTTTTGTTTTAAATCTTTTCTACAAATCCTATAACTTGGACGATTTTCTTTGTTGTTATAATAGACATTTTTCAGCTATCATGTCGGAAATTGATCTGATCCCCTCCCTCCTCCTTTAAAAAAAGGTATTGTCACGGCCCTGCAATCAGGTGGAAAGTCTTACCAATTCGTCAACGACTCCTGGTCTAGACTTGCGAAGACGTTTGACCGCGCTGAAGATGTCGACCGTCTTGTCTTCTCTTACCCTGTCGATAGCGGCGTTGGCGGCAAGGAAGGTAGGAGAGGCTCCAACTCCATCCCTGACCGAACAAAGAGTGAGAAGAGTAAGAAAATGAGGCCAAGGGGGGAGTCATAGGTAAAGAGACAGAGAAAGAGAAAGAGAGAGAGAGAGAGAAAGAAGCGAGAGGGAGAGAAAGAAAGGATTGTAAAATGGACTTGGTTAACATGGGATAAAGGGAGAGTCGGAGAGAAGAGTCAGAGGGAGACAAACATAACCAGAGAGCAAAGCCGACAACATGACAGACAGAGGGGGGAGGGGAGAAATTGGGAATTCATTTTATGAATACATGTAATTATTAATTTTTTCTAAAGTTTACAATCACAAATTGAAGCTAGCCCGAGACTTCGATGATTAAATGCAACAAATACAAGGGGAACTAGACAGGCTAAAAACTGAAAATTAATTGAACAATAATAATTTACCAATAAGAAAGAAATCTTTAATCAAACTTTAGTTTTCCGAACTTTTTTGGTCAGTACATTTCATGCATAGATACACAGTGACAGCATTGATTGGTAGTTGCACATGATAATGATATGCTACATGTTATATGCTGAATGATATAGACATGATATAGGGAGTGGTTCATTTTCCTTTTCCATCAAGTACTGCGAAGAGGATGAGTTGGATTGTATGGTGTACGTCCTCTTTAACATTCGAACATAATACAATATATTAAAACAATACAATAATCTTTCGTATAATTACGTACATGCAAACGACGAGGAACTTCTTCTCAGAGGTGTTGTTGTTGTCGACCTGCGTTAGTAGTTCGAAGAAGTCCATCTTTGATCTCGGAACTAGCGAATCATTCGGCCATCCCAGATACTGCAACTGCGTGATCTGACGTTCACCCTAAACAAACAAAATCAAGGGTGATGCAGATATGACGCAGTACGGCCACGGTGGGATTTTTACGAGTCTTAAAAACGATTCACTTGCCTTTATCTTATCACCCATAGCTTTTTTCCATTTTTTTGCAGCAGTTTACTAGTTTAACGCGTCAAATCTGACCAAGCATTTAGAGTAAAAAAGAACTTTTTTTGTTAAAGAAACCCCTACAAATATTGAGTCAAATAAAGAATTTACTTCAGCTATATGTAGGTATTTCACTAGCGAGCCGTTTGGTTAACCAAAGTCGAAGCTGAAAATGACGTTCATTCTAAACAACCCAAAGGTTAATTAAAAGATTTGAATATTCGTCAGCTTGAGAATATTTCACTCCATGACAACCCAAACCCTAAAAAGGCTTTGGAAGCCCATTGAGACATTGCCAAAGTTTTGTTAAGATAAAGACAAGAACAGATTACTATTTTGATTATTCATTCATTTATTTATTTATTCGTTTATTATTATTATTATAATATTCATTATCATTGTCATTATTGATACCATCAGTAGTATTACTATTATTATCATGATTGTAATTTGTAGTATAAGTAGAAGTATTATCATCATCATCATTATCATCATCATCTCGTCATTACTGTCATATTGTTACTACTACTATCATTATCATAATCAGCATCGTTATACGCATTCTCACCTTCTTTTTTGACGTGGTTACTTTGAGAACTCGTTCAGTCATGGTATCCGTGAGCGTTCTGTCCGAGAGTAGTTCAATCGTGAACGAACCGAAATTCGTTTTGTCGGAGTCCGGCCAGTACTGTCCACACGTCTGATACACAACAACAATTATGATTAATTATTTTTTTCCATTCAAATTATTCACTGAAAATTGATATCTAATATGTGTAGTAACAATATGATGATCACCTCAGTAATACCGATAAGACTGACACGAGACGGACACTTTGGAACCAATTAGAAATAACTTCACCCGAAATAGACAGGAAATAGTCGGTTATCGGTCGGGTTAGAGTCGATGTAGCGGTATGGCTAAGATGCAAATTGGAGGGTTGAGACTGAAAACCTGGGAGACCTACCAAAGCCCCACCGAAAGTTTCGGGTCCGCCGATTCATAAAACATAATTTTCATTATATACAACCGACATATCTCTGACAAAACTGAATAGAAAAATGTCTCGAACATTTGCACGTGTCTTTACGGTTGCAAATTTGATAGGCGCTCATTTGCTTTAGTGTAGTTAAAGCCCTACTGCACTATTTATAGCTACTTGTGCCCTCTATATGGCAAACAACGCCTAATTGGTAACCATTGGTTCCACATGATATCATTTTCCTTATGTCAATTGAGAGCTAATTTGATGAGATAACCACCTGCAGTGACCCTGCAGGGAGGTCTACTCCCTCCTGGTCAAACTAGTGATGAGATTTAACCCGTTGACTACTAATTTATCTAATTCCCATAGACTTAAAGGTATTATAAAGTTTTGGTATGTGGTCATGAATTTGGTTCAAATTAACATACTGGAAGCATATGCGTTCCTACAATATACATTGATCGTTGTCGCGGTTGAAATCGAGTCTAAAGTTATGCAATTATAAATAATAAACTCTTAATGTTGTATAGCTCCCTCTCAAGGTCAAGATATTAATTTAGCTATGAAACAATGTTTCTTGACTAAAATCGACCGATTAGCTATTCCTGTTTGGAAAATATATATCCCAACTACATATTCTGAGATTTTCATGGTCGCAGCTACCATTGTACGGTCATAGGCGCTATTTGAAATTTATCAAAATTTACCGGGAGCACCGGTAAATTTTTATATTCAATTTTTCTCGAAAACAGAAGTGTTTTAGGGGCTAATTTTTTTAGCGCTTATAATACATCAACAGGGGCATCCAAATATATCAAAATTGTAAAGATTCACTATCCACCCAATTTTCAAAATTCCCAAAACTTTGTATTACCTTTAACACATAGACAACCAGGTTCCAGTAAGCAATGGGTTAAGATATGCCTAGCTGATTCTCAACACAAAAACCGCCAGTGATACTTACCGAGTCCATTTCATTGAGATGGATGATCGTGTGTATGTCGTAGTCCCAAACAAGACGCCAGAAATCCCCTACAGTAGACATTAACGGGCATTGGGTGCATACATGGACGTTCTTCCGACCCTCAACCTAAAACATGCAAATAATTCAACACTCTTGATAAAACCTTCATTAAGATATAACGTGATGATGACGTAAATTGTATACACTTCACATTTCTTTATCGTACAACACAGAACGCATGAAATACACGCATGTCCTCGGTTGCACGCCGCGCAGTTGCCATTTATTTATACGCGAAACACAAACCGCGGCGGCTTTTTGTGGCGGTTTACCGCGCCACCTCTGAACGCGCCTTAACAATGAATGCGGGTTGCTTCAATCAAATCAACAAACTAGCATCATTCATTTATTCATTAGGTTTTCAGTGTGAGTAGGTTACTCACACTGAAAACTGGAACGCTATTCAAGTGACTTCCACTTTGGTTTATTGAACGTATTCAATTTCTATTTGTATTGTCATATTTTGCCCCATCCAAATAAAGAAAGTAAAAGTAAAGTATAATTTAGACTTTGAAACATTGCTAGAAACATGACAATGTTTATTATTAAGTAACAATTCTGTAACCAAGGATTAACGATGCGGAAGAAAAAGTATTTTCTTTCAGAGCATCACCAACATCGCTAAAGGCACTGCGCAATCATTATTTTGAAATAATACATAATAATGAATACAGTCAAACTTGCCTTAATGACCATCCTTTATAAAAAGCCAACTGTCTATTTTGGGCACCCACATTAATGTGTGTGGACGATCTTGTCTAGAAAGGCCACCTGTTAGCAGTGGCCTCTTTTTGTGTTTCCCTTTGGTGGCCCTAGTAGACAGGTTTGCGTATACAATACACATGCCGATATCACATAATGTTAAGCTCGTTGCAATGATAATTAATACATTATATTCAATGCATCATTCGTTCTTATTTGATTACAAGAATGATATATTTCCATTTGGGCAAGATGGGTTAATGTGCAAGATTCGTGATAAAAAGATATCAACTTTACTTACATCGAAGAAAGAAGCGTTGATATAATCGTTGTCGTCTACTTCGTCTCCTTTCGTCATCAACAGCGGTTTAAACTTGTCCACTGCAATAATTCGAATATTTATTTGTAGTCACCTTGTTATCGTGATCATATATAACACATATATTATGATATCGAAAATATTAAAATATTAGTCCCTGGTAATGGAAATTAATTTGTCTATTATAATTTCCTTTTTTTTGGGGGGGGGGGGGGTAATATTACAAACCAAGATCACAGCAAATCCAGAAAATATATTTTGTTGAGTGTAATTTTTTTTTTTGGTGGAAATGTTGATATCACAGACATCACAGAGAAATATTTGGAGATTTTTGTATCAAGGAGCAGGAGGTGTAAGATAGATGGACGGCAAAATTTTCGTATTTATTTTCTGTTATACTATACGAAAACACTCGTATGTGAGCTCACGTTGTGTTTAGTTTGCGCTCGCAATTATTTTTACCACATTAAAAGTGAAGCCGCATTTTGATTTGATAAAGGGTGAAGTATTCCAAAAATTTCTTGTTAAATAACTTGTCTTTTTAAAAGAAAACTGATAACACCTACCTGGTACCCTATCAGGGTAGCGGTTCTTCTTAGCATTTACCGGCAGTGAGCCCTTTTGGTCCGATCCTGTCGACTCCATAGGGGCCATGTATTCAAGGACCTAGGAAACAATATAACATGGGGTTAAATACGTTTGATGTACAGACCTTCAAAGTTTCACTTTTTAATGCAACTTGCCATTCCTCTAATTATCAGAACGAGTTTAATAGTGTATTTTTCGGTTTGGGTTGGACATGTTGTAAAGCTAGTACAATCGATTTTGTTCCTTATGTTATTATCGACCATGGCCCCGTCTTATAATCAGAGGAGATTAATCGCAACGTATTTGCGATTGTATTAAATAAATCTTAAATATGTACAAAAGAGATAGGAGACTAGAAACTTGCGATTGGTGAGAGGACTTGCGATTGATTTGGATCAATAGTAGCTCATTATAAGACGAGGCTTTGATCTAAGCTTATTGTATGTATCTGATAATTAGTTTTCAAGACTTACTCGAGCTTGGATCAGATCGAGAAATATAAAGTAAAACAAAAAGAATTAAAACTTTTGATGTAAATTTGTATTCGTTAAAGGGGCATTCCATACGTCTTTGGTAATCAAATGATGACATACATTGGACTTGTCCGATAGTTTCTCTCTTTCTTTATTTGTTTAGCATTACATAGTTATATTACTAACGTTTCGTAAAAATGGCATATATAGTAGCATACATGCAGACAAATACAACAGTTTTATTCGCAATCTTCGAAGTGTTGCTGGAACTGTCGGTCAGAATGTTTAGGCCTTCGGATTCAATTTTACAGATGTCCTTCCCTTCCAAAATTATATCAATATTTTTGTAAAAACTGTTTATAAACTTATACCATCAAATTATGGTGAAAAAAAGAATTTTGAAATACGTTGAAGGTATGTTTCCTTCGAAACGTCCCACCTGCACGAAAGTTTCCTGATATCCAAATTATAATGGATTGCTTAATACTCGTATTATTGACTCACCTCAAATTGCCTTGACATTTCTGTTCTTCCATCGGCATCTTTAATAGTCCCCCAGGTCTTGACAGTGGTCGGTAAGTCTATGATGCTGAATGATACCTTCTCACAGTGGGACCACTGGAGAAGTGTTTCGTAGATGAACTCATATTGTTGCTGAAAGAGATATTTAAAAAATGGAACAATTTTGGCTTAAAGGGAATATTATAACCTTATTAGCACACAACTCTAAAAGAAAGCAGAAAATAGAAAAGCAGGCTGGTGTCAGTTTAAACGAGATCGGACAGAAAAAAAGAAAGTAATACATTTTTTAAAGTTGTAATCACTTTACGTACGGGGACTTTATATTGATTATGTCACTGTGATGTAATGCCGGAAAACTTTTCCGGTTGTTCCAACACAAAAAAACGACTAAATTTCATTTTGTTTTAAAAATTAATGGCTCGGGAGGGAGTTTCTTTTTCAGAGAACCGTTAAATATATAAAGTGACTATTCATGATATATTTTGAGTGGTGCACCAAGGTAAAAGGCACTTAAGAGGAACATTCATAACTTTCTTATTATTTGTCTGACTTATTTAAACTTTCGCCGTTCTGTTTTTCTCATGTTTCAGGTTTCATACGAATTGAACTTGTTAAAAAGGGTTGGATTGTCCTTTGAGTGCGATGATACAATATAGGCGGATCTGCATGCCCCATCCATCAAAGAAAAGATTTAATCAAATGGAAAATAAAATGAAAACTTTCAAAAGAGATTTAATTGATATCATCTTCTGTACTATGATGAAATTATATTTCAATAAATATTTATATATTTCCAATTGTAATTAGGTTTCAGAAGGAAATAATGGCTATATACTAATAATGATAATAAGAATCATTGTTATTATTATTATCATCATTATTATTATTACTACTACTACTAACATTGTTATTATGATCATCATTCTCATTACTAGTAGTAGTAGTAGTAATAGTAGTAGTAGTAGTAGTAGTAGTAGTAATCGTAGTATAAATAGAGATAGTAGCAGCTCACCCATAAAGGGTTATCCATTGTTATGTTTATATTACCTGTACTTGTACCATGAAGGCTCTTCGTTTTCTCATTTCGTTTATGAAATTGAAGACATCTATCTTCTTTTCTGCTTCAATCATCTCTATCATGCAGTTGATGGTTATGAAGGTTCCCGTTCGTCCTACTCCAGCACTGAAATTTTCAGGAAGGGTCATTATTATTTCATATTAAGGATTTATAGCCAACCAGGAAAGTCTGGCTCTTTGAGCAAAGGTACATGTACCTGGATGACCATGCAGAATATTATTACTAAGTAAATATCAATATATCATAGTTTGAGGTGCGAAACGCGTAAAAATGTGAATACCCGTTGAATGAAGGTTATAAAGGTTTCATACAAGTATGGCCTTCCTATCGTGTGACAAAAGGTTATTTCGCTCTCGCTTTGAGACTATTGATATTAGAACGAACTAAAATACATAAATTCTTATTGTTGAACTGCCCTTCTATTCTGTATAAGAGAAACGATAACCATATCTATGCAATTTTACTTTAGATAAAGCTGAAAATCGCAAATAATATTGCCTAATCACTCATATAGTATTACTATGAGGAGGCGTGGAGGCTCTGTGGCATCGTAACCGGAAGTTTCCGGGTTCGAACCCGGGTCGATGCGCTTGCATGTGTCCTTTCGTAGGCATTACAATCTTAATTACCAAGTCCCTGGAATATTATGTAAAGCCTTGGTTTCCAATTGTTGCTTAACTACATGCATAAACTCAATTCTTAGAAGTCAGGTAAAATAAGCCATAAATCATCGGTAAAACGGTCGAACACGATATTCCACAGAATATCCCATAGAATGCATTTTAGGATTTACATTAAAAGGTCGCTGCAATGTTAGCACATTTCAAAAAGGTGATGGATAAGTCTTTTGAAAGCCCCAGGTGGATTTTTTGAAAGTCTATGCGATCGTGTAGTAATCAATCGTATGCAATATCGGGTGTTTTAAAGTAAACCTCACCTGCAGTGGACTATGATTGGACCGGAGTCGGCGGGGTTGGCGTTCTTTACAATATCCCTGAAATCTAGGAGAGGTTGGGAACTCTCAGGAACGCCCATGTCAGGCCAAATTGTATAGTGGTATTGAGTGATATTCAGTCTGTTGGTTGTTCTATCAGGCTGCGGAAGGAGATGGAAAAAGAGAAAGATAGGAAAAAAGGAATTCATAGTATTTCATTTTCTTGTGTTTTAATATCAAAGGGCAATTACAACTTTATAAACAACCAGGGCAGCGTTTCAAGAAACTGTCACAAGTTCGCAGACATGGACACCAGAGAAATGAAACCCCCATTGGAGCGTATATTTTATTTAACACGCGTTGCAATGGGATTTCGGCTTATATTTACGACGATTTCGTACAACGATGCTCAAGTGAATGCACTAGAGCCTTTTATATTTTGCATGTCTTTTTTAAAAAGAGGGGTGGAGCAAAGCATTTGCTCTTTGTGTATATTAATTTCTCACTCACTCTGTCTCGTCCCCCTTTCAATCTTTTGGAGAGCCGTGTAACTTACACATCAACCTACAATTAATCCTAAAAACCTACTGTATCTTCAATCTCACTGTTACATTTATTGTGAACGTTACGATTGATTAAAAAAGATATGATTCATTATGGGGTGATATAATAAATCGTAACCTTTGATATAACGCGACCGAGACACTAATTAACTTTAAGGTTAGACAATTGGTAAAATGAAGAAGAAATGTACACACCTTTCCAACTTCGAACTTTCGGAGGACGTAACTTCCCTCATCTTTTACTTCTCTGGCTATTACTTCCAGTTCACCATAACGTTTATGATTTCCCGCGGAGGGCCAGTATTCGATACATTTCTTCTGTAGAAAAAAATCATGTCGCATAACCATGTAAAATGTCCCATCTTATCAGCAAATCGTCATAACGTACGTTTAAGGTATATTTTGTAAGAAAATGAAAGAAAATTTGTAAGAAGAATAACGCTACTTTAAACGTATTAAATGGGAAATTAAATATTGGATTGTTCATAATTATAGAACGATAACAATTTATAATTAATTGTAAATCAATAAGAGAAAAATAATGCTACTGTGAAATGACTTAGATTACTGCTATCCATGAATTTTATGCGGTTAGATTGGTCTACAGTTCTATTTATTTATCCTGTACGTTTAGTCTGGTAAGAAGAAGATCAACGAATAAATAGAGGTTCAGATGAGATCTTTTTGTCTGCGATATTGATTCTGTAGCTAAAGATGCCTAAGCGCATATTAGAGATGCAAGACCTTTCACACTTGCGTTTAGGGGATAAACAATAACTCCCTAATACTGCGCAGGTGCCAGATACGTTATGACCGTTGAACACATTCTGTTCGCTTTGCTCATGCACATAAACTCTACAGCAGGCACTTGACACATTTTAATATAATTTCCCTTTGATAAATTACATTTAAAAGGCCATTGAAATGTAAACCCTGATAACATAAGATGTTAGTCTGCGGTAATTGGAGTTTCCTTAGAAGAAAACGAACGCACATGTGCCTCGGGCATTAATTTAATATGACTTTTTAAGTGAGGAGGGGGAGGGAGTGGGGACTAGAGTCAAATCAACAAAGTTACAGACATAGATTTTATAAGCACCGCCACGACGAAATGCATGGGTGAATTAAAAGCCACGCGGAAATATTCTCGTTAATGGAGGACAACTATTGTCCTCCAAAAACGACCGTCTCTATGACTGCCTTTAGAGCATAGCTATTCAGACAATTTTTTTATCATTGTCAGTTTTTGTGTACACGACTACTAATGTTATGAAAGCATGTGTATGCTTGTAACTAAGCAAAAAGGGGACTGACGGCTTTAAGTCCTCGCCGAGGGAATTGAAAATGAAGATAAATGCCTTACCAAAGGGCACTAGCGCATCAACTTGGTTTTTGAACCCGGGACCTCCAGATAATGAGACTACTGCTCTACCACTAAGCCATCGCGCCTTCTCAGAGCTCGGGTTTCTGAAGATCTTGCGGGGAGTTTTATTATGACTCTCTCTATCTCTCTATGGTGCCCTGCCGTTTAGCACGTTTCAAGCATTAAACGCTCTCCATTATTTTCTGCATAGAGCTCTTTCATTCATCTTTTGGTTTGTATCATCTGGTTTGAAAATAACTGACGGATCAGTACTTATTAAGTTTGAAACCTTACCTTGTCTTTCTCTAAGAGGTTTGTCAGCATCACAATAGTTGACGTCCTCTGTTCATAAACCATCTGCCAGAAATCATTCAAAGAAGCAGCATTCGGACCTGTGTAGGGGGTGGGGGAGGCAAAGGCATTTAATTGCCATTGATATGAAAAAATAATATGTTCCTATAGATGGCGGTTCAACATAATTACTACTTTCTTCTTAATGATATTTCCGCAAGCTCCTAAGTATTTGGAGTCCACAAATGTTTTGAGGTGATATTTTTTTTCTGCCAGTAATTTTATTACAAAATCTGACATCAAATCCGTCGTTCTATCTAACTAATTTGTTCACAATAATTTATTTATGCATTATCATTATCATTAGTATCGCTTTTATTGTTATCATTATTATTTATGTTATTTTATTATTATCATTATTAGCAGTAGTATTATCATAATCATCATTGTAGTTATTATTATATTAGTAGATGTAGTAGTGGTAGTAGGCCTAGTATAGTGTCATCACTGTTATCATTGTCATTATATCTTTCATTATAAATGATCACAATAAGTGCAACCGAAATTTGATTCTAGTTTGATCATCCTTTGCTTTGAGGCTTGCGGTCAATGATCACGCTCCTTTAAAACACCTTAGACAAAAAAGCAAAAACATGTACATGACTTTATACTATTCGTACCTTGGGAGGCGATGAAAGCATTTTCTTTCTTGTATCCCTGTAAGTGAGAAGATAGTAAATAAAAGATATTTCCAAAATGAAGGTACATTTATTCATACAATAAAGTAATGCCTTTGCAGACGCTGATATGATATTGAATACAAGCTTAGTCAACATTTCCGTAAATGCGAACGATAACAAAATGATGAATTGGTCAGACTACATGAGGGAATATAGGCCGAAATTATCTTCTGAGAGTTACTAAAATAATAAGCAGATTAACACATTCGTTTCTTCTTACAAATGACTAAGATTGGCGAGAAAAGACCACCACGGGAGTGTGCACAACAAAAATATTGCGCGTACTCACTGAGCTCTGTACTGCGTTATAAAATAGAAAAATGTTCAGCGAATTACACTTAACGTCATATGTTTTTTTTAACGCAGCAGTTTTGCTGAGCCATAACTGAGCGAGCCTCTAGTGACACAAAACATTAAACCTACGCAGTATTTTGGTCCAGCACTGGCAACCTGCCCATTCAGTGATTAAGGGGCTAACGCTAAACTTAGCACTAACCCTATGCCTTAACCTAGCCCTTACCCTCGCCCTAGCACTAGGCCGAATCGCAGCCCTAACCCTGTAAAGCCTTAACCCTAACTCAAGAATAACTGTGCGTAGGACAAATCTATGATGTCACAAATATCACCAACAAGACAACATAATTTACATCAATGAACGTTGCGTTAATGTAATCAGCTCCTGGTTCTGTTGGTAACTTGTTGAGTTTGACCCGATGCTCATCATCTGGAAAGGGAACAAAAGAAAAGCGGTTTTTAATCGTTAATAAGGCAATTGACGGGGTAGGGAAGGGGAGGGTCAATAAAAGCGGGCGAATCGCGACCCCTGCCCAAATCATCATGGGTACGGGCATGTTTCCATCAGGCCGGCTTATGCCTCTATAATAATAATAATTTAAATAATATTCCGCTTTTATATATCGCTTAAATACAAATGTCTTTAGGCGCTTTACCTATATACTATCCACAATATTAACTCACGAGCAGTCATATTTTGCGAGAATCGAGTAAACGACAACTACACTTTATTGTGTTTGAACACAATTTGTCATACAAATACAAGCGAACATATGTAAAACGTGTTCACATTCACCTGCACAATATTATACAATTAAATTATAGCACCCCATACCACAGCTATACTTAGTTCACTATAGCATACTTTTGAATATGTCAATGAATATTCAGCAAATGTAAAACATGTGCACCAAACAGTTGCTCTGTAGAATGGACGTCCACATTTTGCTAATTGAATAGCAATTTAAATATTTTTCTTTTTTTCTTGGCTTTTTACAAGTCGTTTACCTTATAGTTTAGGCGATACAAAATATGAGGTATTCGTAACTTACACGTTATGATGTTCTTGTATCTGTTCTTTGGTTTATTCTCAGGATTGTTGCCAATGCATCCCTCGTCACTTTTATTCAACAAGGCCTATTGATCGAAAAATTGATAAAAAAAAAATTACCTTAGTATTAGTCAAAGTATTAAAAGAACAGCATGTTAACCCTAAAAAGGCCGGGCTATTTGAGTTCTTAGTACGGCGGGGGGGGGGGATTATGATCTCGGCCGCAAAGCGGCCGATCGCCGCGATAATTTGCACGCATGTCAAGTAAAGTGTATAGAATAATATGATAATTTCAATTTTTTGAAAAATTCACTTATTTGCATATTTATGGTAATTTATGGAAATAAAGGCATAAAAATCACATTTTTACCCATAAATCATATATTATTCATATTTAAGAATTCTTTTTCACTACATATATTCATTAGACCATTCTGAATTATAATAATAATAATACAAAAAAAATTGGAAGAGCCAGCTTATTCCTTATGTTATCCCTTGTTTTGATAATTTCTTATGTATTTCATTGTTTTTTTAACTTATGTATTTCATTGTTTTTGTTGTTTTATTTCATTTCTTACTACAATTCAACTATTTTGACTCCCTAAACAACCACCTAAACTTTAAACAAGACCCAATAACCCATGTTTGATCTGTTTTTAGGAAAAATGACTTTCCCATATGTTTTGTACACAAATCACGAAAATGAGCGATTTTCGGGCTGACATGCAAAGACAAAAGCGGCGGGGCGCCATCCATATGCGTTCCCGAGCAATCGGAAAAATTGTGGAGGGGGGGGGGGCATAATGGCCCCCCGGCCTTATTAGGGTTAAATGATAGCAATTATTTTAACACGCCAAAATTGTATATCAACTATACATCCATGATAATTTGCGAGGATCAGGGCGGGAGGGGGTGGTTGATGGGGGAAGTACGCATGGCCTTGGTCGTGATCCACTCGTAGTAATTTTCATTGGTAAAGGCCCCACACAAATCCGATAATGGCTCCCCCACCCTCTACTCTAAAAGCGTGTACATATTATGGTGCCCGCCTACCGCCTAATTACCAGCGGGACAATTACCCCCCCCCCCCAGGACAATTACCCCCCGAAAAATTACCCACCGATGACAACCCAGACCCCGAGAACAATTACCACCCGAAATTTTACCATCTACATCAAATTCCGATTGGGGGTAGATATGAGGGTGGGAATATTGTCCTAGGGGTCCTTTTTAGGACCAAGGGTTAATTGTCTAGAGGGTAATTTTCCACAGAGGGTAATTGTCCTAGGGGGATATTTTCCGGGGATTATTGTCCTTGTATAGGGTTAATAATAATAATAATAATAATAGCTCGTTCTAATATAGCGCTTTTCAGGACCGAAGGCCCTCTCAAAGCGCTTTACAGATAAGTACATTATTACCCCGTTCATTGGATTCAGGCTTTCCTGCACAAAATGTATGTACATTCTCCACTCCCTGGGGAGCATTCCAGCCAGGCGTCATTTTTACAAGCGCACACTTGCTAATCTAACCACATTAGCTTTCGCATCCTACCGGGTACCCATTTAACACCTGTGTTAAGTTCCTTGGGGGTAGTTTTCCGGGGGTAATTGCCATGATAAGCCTTGTCATGTCCCATATCCCATATACTAATGAAATGCGAGCATGGCGAGTGCCACTACTGCATATTGATAGGCCTACCGCTTTAACTTAATATCCACGTGTTGCTAGGTATGCGTAAAATAACGGTGGTCGAGTGGGATCTCCGATGATGTAAACCATAAACAATCAAAGTGAAGAGCCTTTCGCTAGAGCCTCAGTGTCTTTATACCTTGTATTCCTTCTCGAATCCATCACGTGACATTCGTTTGGCTTTAATAACCTTGGCCAGATTGCTGATGTGTATAGGCTCGTGTTGTGGTGGCCGTTGTTTGACGGGAGGCTTGGCCTTGGGTGTGCTAGGAATGGTGGTACGCACCAGAACCGGGTTCGAGGTTCCCCCATTTTCTTTAAAGTACAATCATAGCAAGATTAAAAGAATATAATCATTTTGAAGAGGTATCCAGAAATTGATGTAAAATAAAGATTAATAGTCCAGAAACACCATTGTGTGAATTACCTTTTTTTTTTTAATTGTGGGAGTTTTGTGATTTTTTGAAGGTATAATCTTTGTTATAGTAGTTGCACTAATACGAAACCAAGTTGTCTTACTTCTTTAAGAATAAGGATTTCTAGAGACATTTATGAAAATTCAAGCAGACAGAAGTGATGACGAAATAGAGAGAGAGAGAGAGAGAGAGAGAGAGAGGATGTACGAACATAATAGACGTATACAAAAATTATCCATATTCATATTGTTATCTATTTTTTTTTTAATCACAATTTTGCTGAAGTTGATCCGGCATTTTGAACATGCAACTGTGTGCAAAGCCCTACGAAAATCAACTTCCGTTCAATAGAAAAGGCGGCAATTCACTCTTTTCACTCTTGATGTGGAGGAAATCAAAGTATCAAATTAAACGTAAAAACATCAAACATTAATGAAATTATAATATCAATAATTATATGATTAATAGTAATAATAATAATAAAAACAATAATATTAATAATAAATAAATGAGTTGTTGCTTACCGTCAGCTGGAACATTCTCTAGATCATATTCCTTTGGTGGTGTTGGTGGAGCATCCCTAAGCAATAAGGAACACACATACAAAGAAACAAATTAAGACATACAGTCTAGCCCAATATCTACTTTACATTGTACCCCACCTAGGCACCTACACGTACCAAGAATCTTGCAACACGATTGGTCTAAATGAGGTCATATGACGAATTATATAGATTCCAATTCTCGGCGCGGTCGTAGTGAAAGTAAACAAAATATACCATGCACTGAGAGGCTCTAGCTGAAATTATGGATCGAGGTGACAGGAATAGCACTATTTTTCTGAGTGGCTTGAAATTATATGATTTGTTTTATATTTTTCAAACAAACCTTCATAACAAATAATAATAATAATAACAATAATGTATACTGTTAATAAGGAAGTGAAGTGTGAGCAGCGCAGACGTCACTGTATAGCGCATTTTTCTTATCGGTAACATCATAGCAATGTTATGTTTGATCACAGGATTTCATTGATCAAAAATATAATGAAATCTATCACATTGTCATGCGATAGTCTCTTTTCGCTGGTTGCGCATATACAAACATGGTGAGAGCTTATGGGTAATGGTTTTTGCGAAATACGCGTAGGCCATTGTAACGTAAGTCAACGCGTAGCACGTATTCGAAACAGCGCAAATTTGGGCTACTAATGCGCAGATTCGTAGGAGCAGACTGGAAAGTTAATTTTCTTGCAGCGCAGTGTAATGCCTAGGTCACATATAAACCGGGTCCCGTACGATTTCCCCTACCCGGCGGCTTGCCGTTGATTTAGAGACCGTACGGGAACCGTCCGATTTTCATTTCTACGGCATGTGCGGTCACATATTGTGCGGCGCCCAGGAGGTGCCCGGAGAAAATTGGTCGAGTAAAATGCAAGGCGCCCGTAAGGGTGCCGGCAGGCTGCCGGCCGAGGGCCGGCCGGTAACCTTACGGGCTCTGTCCGATGAGCAGGTGTACCGACGCGTCGCGACGGCTCCTGGAAGGTGCCCTGCCGTGGCCGGTCCGGGGTCCTCAAGGCGCTTGCCCGGGTGCCGTGCGGTGCACTGAACTACAAAGTGAGTCAGACAAAAAATGTCCCACTTTTTAAAAGTTGTAATTGTTTGAAGTATAAATATTTAATCATGGGTTTCATGATATATCTTGATAGAGTTATCCTCCCAGTACATTTAGGTACCATTTTCATTTGAATCTCTGCATGCATCACTGAATATCAGACAATCTTTACAATACTGCCAGATCTCACTTGCGCCAAGTTACTGGGTGAGGAATAAAACAGTGCATTGAACAACGAAAGTCAGACACGCGCACACGCACACACACCCACACACACACACGCATACACGCACGCACACGCACACAAATGAGCATTCTATTCCCGTCAAGGCCCACTTCTTTCCTAGATTGTTTTTGTTTTCATCTCATTTTCTCTGTTTCCTAAAATGTCTTCTTGTTTCTTTGGAACGTAATTATTCGTGTCCTTTTCTCCCATTTATTTATTCCTCTTTTTTCTCCTTCCCTCTTTATGGGGATGTGTATACTGACTTGTTACAAAATAAAATAAAGGATTATTCAAGAAAATCCATAAATTATTTTAAAAATCTATTTTGTTTATTATTTTGTGAATCTGTTTGAACAAAACTCCATACTTCAAAATAATACTATATGCAATAAAAATCCATTCTTGACAATACGACAGATTTTATTATCGACAAAACTGTAACTTCCACAAAACATGAGATCAAAATTGCAAAATTTCACTGATATAAGTAGCAGTTTAATATTATAACACGTACCTTCGTTTCTTGTATACGATAAAACCAGATGAAACCATTATAATAAGTAAAATGGGAACGCCAACACCTAAACCAACGGCCAGAGCTGTTGGAAAAACAGAAATAGAGACAAAATTTTCAACAGCAACGATCCATTTGCCAACACAGCGGATTGTATAGGGGGCAGCATGCACAAAATCTACCTAAAACCAAGACAATGACATAATGATTGTGATGTCATTGAAATTACAGATCTCAGGTGTTGCGTTTTCATTCGGACACCCTGTCTTTACATAATCTCGAACGGAACGTTCATAATTATGAACATTACGAAAATCGCGTTGCTGTAATTTCAAATATATTAAAATGTATTCATTTATTTGGTTTGGAATAATTTACAGCATTGCAATGAGCTGTAGCTAAAAAAAAATAGAACAAAGATTTTAGAAATTATTACTGAACTGGAAACTTACAGTTAGGACCGCCGGTAGTAGGTTTTGGTTCGGTAGATTCAGTCAAACTTTCAGACCAGCCCCCAGGTCCTCCTTCATTGACAGCGCGAACCTGTGTCATCAATAACATACGAGTTTATAGATGAAATGACGTAAATCGTCATTGCATAATATAATTCAGACTCAATCGCACAACAGCTATTATTGCTGTATAAAATATTAATTCAAACTATGTGAAGAGGTTTTGCTTGTTTAAAAATGTTATCAAAGCACAAACAGTGCTTTTTTAACGAAACAAAAATCGCGAATTTTCCATTTCATGAATGAAGATAATTGAAAAGCCAGTTTAATTTTGGACATTTCAGGTAGTGGGTTATTGATGTAGACAAATGCTCATGTACCTGTTACACCTCATTTTATGTATGCTCTTACCAAAGATAAAAAAATGTCAGTCGGTCAGTCTATAGTGTCTGACAGTTAAGTCAAGACAGTTAACAGATTTCCTTGCATAATTTGTTTTCATTGTATACTTTATTAAAACAAAACATGAGCATCACATATTTACATAATTTTTATATTCGGACACTGCTATCGTTTAAATCTCACATATAGGACATACATGACATATTCATAATTCCTGTTAATTGTCGTAATGAACTCTGGTGCTTGCACTCTTTTATTTTTTGTGACGAAAACGCAGCCAGCTTCACCAAAACATTAATTATATTGGCGTGTCCTCATCTTTTTACTAACATAACATATCACATCGTTTTCAGAATACCACCCTCGGCTGTTTGTCACTATGTGACCCCTCCATAACAAGAGTTCATTTGAGTAATGCATTATGTTATTGTTATTTTCAATTTACGTCATTTATTTAAGAAATATTAATTATGTTGGAAAGTCTGAATGATAACAAAAAGATAGATTACTCGCTCACCTTGATGTAGTACTCCGTTCCCGGTTCTAGCGGTGCGATAGTGCACACCATAGGTGATGTAATATAAGTGACGTCGATAGTATCTTCATCCCCTGTGCTACTTGAATAACTGACTGTATAGTGTGTTATCCTGTATATTCCTAGATTTGTATCATCCACGAGGGGCCACTCTATGGAGATTGATGTATCATTCTTTGCCTTGAAAAGCGGTACTGCTGGCGTGTTTGGTTCTGTTGCATGAAAAGAGAAATTTTGGTTAATGAATATTTCAATTTCATAGTAATATAGGCGTTTGTATTATATAAATACATGTCTCATGATCCAAATAGGTCTATATCTTTTGCTGTGAGCTAAAAAGGCATAACAATTCATATATACAAACTTGCTGACTCTGAGACATTTGGATTCATTTCATGGCTGCCTTTACTTTTAAGCTGTTTAGCCAATCGTTTTACTTCAAAGTATTTGAAGCGGGAATCATTCAGAGCATTCCAGTAGTGAAGGACATTTTTGTTTTAAAAGGTTTTTTTCGAACAATGATTATGAAAATACGCGTCGTTTACAATATGCACATTCTATACAAAGACAATTTTCAGAGAGTGACCGGCGTTTCTTTGGCAAGTATCATTTCGAAAGACACGTCGACATCCCATCCAGAGGATTTCTCAATAACCCACGGTGATAGAACAAAATAGACACTTTTTATATTAAATAAAAAGCTTCTTTAGAGATTCCATATAGTTACGACTTGTTAAAGGCGCTTCCGAAAAGTTTCACAAGTATTGATGCGGCTGCTAATTAAAATATCACTGGCGCCGGTTACGACCACGCCGCAAATTAATCAGCAGTCCATCGTTTTAAGCAGGGGCGTAGACAACGGGGGGGATGAGGGGGATGCATCCCCCCCACCTCACAAGGTGGGGGGGGATGGCATGTACAATCATCCCCCCCAGGTTTTGGGGAATGATATTTGCTTACTTAATAAGTCATAATGATGATAATAATAGTAATAATAATAATGATAACAATTATAATATTAATAATAATAATAATTATGATGATGATAATAATAATCCTCATCATTATTGTAATTGTGTTTATTGTTATTAGCCGCATTCACAAGGTGAAAGCCAATTCAGACGGTAAAAAAAGTAAATCTTACAAGTATTTTGTGGTCATCTTGTGGTTTGGAAACCACAAGATAACCACAAGATTAAACAGGCGCGGATCTACGGGGGAGTTTAGGGGGTTTAACCCCCCCCCCCCCCCTTGGGCGGCCCAAAAAAAACCCAAAAAACCCAAAAAAAAACCACAAAAAAAAAAAGAAAGAAAGAAAGAAAAAAGAACGCACGCTAGAGAGAAACCCTTTCAAGTGCAAATATTGTGAGAAGATATTCAACTCATCTGGTAACTTAACCAAACACATGATAACTCTGGATATAACTGTGTATTTAACTGTTACTTGATTTAAAAAGACGTTATCATGCACTGCTTTTTATGGTCTCCATTGTGTTAATAGATGCCAGGAAAACATCACTTACGGGGTTCAAATAAACACCCCCCAAAAAATCGGCTCGCCGCTTCGCGGCTCGTGGACGATGCTCCGCATCGTCATTATTTTGATCACCCCTCCCCCCTCTTAGCAAAAAGCTAGATCCGCCCCTGAGTCATCCCCCCCAGGTGTACGAACCTGTCTACGCCACTGGTTTTAAGCACTATACATTTAGTTTTCAAGGTCAAATGTTCCCGTTTTTTAAGTTAGTTGTTTATTGTAGAATCTATAATGATGAAAAAGGTAAGATGATGATGATGTTCCCAGTAATAATGTTTTGATTTCTCTTTGTTTTTAGGTGGAGGGGGAAGGGGGTGAAGGATCGACGGTTCACTAAAATACTCTTGAACTCACCTGGTATTGGGAGTGTTGTGACATCGACCGAATCCCAAGCACCATTCCCTCCGTTGCTGACAGCACGTACCTAACAAAGGCAGTATTGTAACAAAATTATGATATTAATTTCTGAAACGGGTTCCCAGTGGTATATCATGTTACTGTCCAACCGGCTCTTAGCATGTCCAAGCATCGAAATCTATATCACAAGGGTGTTTTATTTGTGGGACAAATCCTGAACTTTGCTGAAACCGCATGCGATTTAGTATTTGTTCACGATTTAAAAGAAATATCCTTCTAAAGCTGTTATTGTCATTGGGTTTTAGAAAGTCCGAGCAGAGACGGCACATTTAGCTGAATAACCAACTTACCTGTATGGTATACTCATTGTTAGGCTCTAAATCTGAGAATTCATACATTCTTATGTCTTCCTCCTCTATCATGATGACGTCATCATTGTCTTTCTGGATCTCATATCTCAAAAATAAACCGTTGATTGACTCCGGTTTCTCCCAGGCGATGATGGTATATGTCTGATTCGTTGACCCCACTTCGCTGCCGGTATTGAGAAGGCCAATGGGCTCTGTATTAAAGATAATAATATTAATAACAAATAAATAAAATTGATAATAATATTAATAAATATAATAATGATGATAATGATAAAATCATATTGATAATAACGATAATGATAATAATAATAATACGATAATGACAATATTAATATCATATTGATAATAACAAAAATAATATAATTATTATTATGATGATAAAAGTAGTTATAATAATATCGATATAAATAATGGGGTCTCGTCAAGCGCTTATGTCTGGAACATTGCCACTCATGGCCCTCCATTTTTGTGTATCGACCCGGCTTTACCACAGCTGCCATTACGTGGCTAGAGCATTTTCAGGAGTTGATTCCTGGCGGGTACTCATTTACCTCACCTCAGTTGAGTGTCACAGTGGCAAATGCAGATTAATGTTATGCCAAAGGATATTAGTATTATACGACAGGGTTTCGAACCCCATACCTTACGGTTAATAGTCCGGAGGCTTATCCACTGAACCACGAAACCTCTACACAACAACACATTCTTCGGATCACTAAATTCAAGATTATCTCTATTTATCAGTGTTCAAAAGCATTATATGAGGCCTCCATTGCACATTGGTATACGGAACGCAAGTATGGCTCGAAAATTATTTTGAATGACCCAATTCATGGGAGGGTTCGACCAAATAAGCCATTTTGGAGATCCTTTCTGCGCTCGGGCAAATAAATGGAATTTGCACAATACTGTAAAACCCATTGAGACGAAAGCTGGATACGTGTACATAATTTTGTTTAATTATTCATTTATGCATCGACGGTATGTTCTATGATACACTGGTGGAAGTATCCTTTGCAAGATGGCAAACAATAGGTATTCATTGAGCACTACCATCACTTGGGCAGTGATTCTTCTAACATGCGCAAAGTGTAACTTCTCCATGTTTAAAAGATCTTAGGAGATTTCTAGGATCATCTGTACATAAAATATCTCGGAACTGGTCTATATTATAATGATATGACTAAGGCAAGGAATCAAATGTCATTGGTGAAAATAAACCCAAAATAAAAAGGAAATAACGTCCAATCTTTGATAACGATATTCATAATGGATCTTACCACTTGGTAGTGTTCTGGTCTGATTGAAGATGCAGGGACCCGGTCCAACGACTGTCCTCGGACAGACAGTAAACTCGTACATCACGTAATGTTTTAAATCCTCAAATGATTGACTTGTCATCATAAGGTTTTCCCTCTGCACCTCATCCCCTCCCGCTTCTCCGAATTCGTAGTCGTAACTTAAGGCTCCGTTCCGGTCTCCGCATGGGGGACTGCTCCAGGTATAATCCAATTTTCTTTTCACGGTGCTAGCCACTGTGAAGTATTCAGGTGGCCCAGTGGAATCTATTAAGTGGATTAAGTTATAAATCGAATTGGTTACCTATCCACTTTATATAGTGAAGCTACTAAATGTATCAAATACACTACTGGTGTCCTAAGTAACACATCGTTATCCCGGCTTTAGTGTAAGCAAGCTACCATGATAGGTTCTTTCAACAGTATTCTTTACCTTGCATCCATTTACTTCACCTGGGTGAAGAGTGTCAAATGTAGACAGGTTTCTACCATGCCAGATGGAATTCTTTATATCTGGAGAACAATCTTTAACGTCTCTTTCCGAAAACAAAACGTTAACAAGATCTGATTTAAAAGGAGTAGAACCCGGTTTGATTAAGATCGAGGGATACAGCATGGTGTTGCTGTGGGTAGGTACCAAAGGCATAAGAGATGAGGGGTAGGGATGCTGAGCGGCGCAATCCCTTGGGAATTTTAAATTATCAATACTCGTTTAACCACTACATTTTGCACGTGGTTTGCTTTCTCTGTGTTTACTGGATCTTATTTGAAATTACCATTATATTTTCGCCATACTAGTGATCAAAAAGGAAACAGGAAATTAATATTCTAGCAAAGAGACGTCAGCCTCCCTGAAGATTTCGATCCCGTCATCCCATGGCAGGGTCGTAACTCGTAATTTATCGCGGAAAGCCGGCGAGTGCCGTCCTGACAAAAGCGGACGGATCACGAATTCCATTCTTAGGGATAGACTCCAAATTATGTCATATGTATTTCAATTTTCTAACACCTTACTCGGTGGAAATATTTTGAATGGTTGTACAAATTTCCAACACAGCAACCTAGTTATCTCACCGAGAAATACTTAAAATCGCAGAGAGTCTTCGGGTTGCCGGTAAAGGTAATACTTGTCACGATGACATTTCCTAATGGGACAATAATTGCTGGAAAGTGCACTGCAAATACTTAAAGACCTATCATTCATGTACACTGTCGCTCATATAGTTGGAATATTTTTGTTTTATCCCAATTTATGGAATTATTTTAAAAATAATTTAAAAATAATAGATCTAGATAAAAGTATACATTCTCAGATTTTATTGAATAATAATTTGCCAATGTGTGTTTTGCGTGACTGCTAAAGCATGTGTATTGTACTATGCTTATCGACTAGGGGACCCACGCTCTTAAGTCATATATGACAGTAATGAGGATTAATGCCCCACAAAAGGGCTCTAATATAGCACATCGACACGGTTTTGATCCTGGGGCCTAACAGTTACGAGGCCATTGCTTTGTCACTGAACCATGACTGTACGCAGTTTGAGCTAGGGTAGGGGGCAGTTTCCATTAATTTAAAAAAAAAAACAGAAAATGCAATAAATTTTCAATAATTTATTGCATTTTACCCCGGTCCCCAACATAAAAAATTCTCTGGACGGCCATGCATTATGGCTCAAGGCATGGGCACACAGAGGATTTTTTTAATGTTGGGAACCGGGGTAAAATGCAATAAATTATTGAAAATTTATTGATTTTTTCTTTGTTTTTTTTATTTATGGAAACTGCCCCCTAGCCTAGCCCCCGCTGCGTACAGTCATGGTTCAGTGACAAAGCAAAGGCCTCATAACTGTGAGGCCCCAGGACCAAAACCGTGTCGATGTGCTATAGTAGTGCCCTTTTGTAGGGCATTAATAATAATAATAATAGCCTAATAGTCCACTCCAAATTTTATTTAACCGAAACGAAAATTCTTTTTGCCAATTGATCGTGAGCCCGGCAGCCACTGAGCAGCGCCAGATCCCCATTAATCCTCATTGCTGTCATTTATGACTTAAGGGCGTAGGTCCCCTAGTTGATAAGCATAGTAGCATACACATGGTTTAGCAGTCACGCAAACCACACAATGGCAAATTATTATTCAATCAAATTTGAGAATGTATAGTATTATCTAGATCTATTATTTTTAAATTATTTTTAAAATAATTCCATAAATTGGGGTAAAAAAAAAAATTCCACCGTTATGAGCGACAGTGTAGTTGAAGGTCAAACTCCTAGTGATTGATAACATCAGTTTTTTAGGTGAATACCCGAACGATGTGAAGCTTACAAACGAGGACCCATGCGTATGTGTCTTTAACTTACTTGACTCAGTGGAGTTGTATGTGATGAAAAAGACTGTTTCTGCTTCATAGCCTTCCAGAGTCGCCAGAACTGTAAACACATAGGTTGAGTATGGCAAAAGGTCGTCATACTCGATGATTGGATCGCCTGTTACCTCACGCGTTACCATATCCGCCATAGAATCGTCACATTGGTCAATGAGAAGTAGCCTACGTGATACGTTGTAGCTCGGATCACCGCATTGGCTGAATGGTTCTGACCACGTGATCTCCAGGTGGTTGTACGAATCAGAAGTGACGTCAGCACTATCCACTGGTTGAGGAGCTGTGGGCAAATCAGAAGAAGAGAGGAGGTTGTTAGGCAGTATCGAAGGCCCAAGTTTTTGCTTTGTAGGTAATGTCTGAAGTGTCTATACACAACTCCATGTGGATCATTTTAGATTATCCTTATGGAATGGAATATGAGGCAGGTGAAGTTCATATTCAATTATCACGTGTGTGCCCTACTACTAAAATAATATTGTAGAACATTCTATGGACTTTGCGACAGAGAAGTAACACGTGACTAACCAATGGCCATAGCAGGAGCCGAGCCGAACGAAACCTTGGTCTCGGAATTCAAATGAAAATTAAAACCAGCATTTCTTGTGATTTATGTATTTGTATATCTTTATGTTGTGTATATTTGTATATAATTTGTATATTTTCCTTAAAAATTTTTTTTTTTAATATTTCATTTTGAGCCGAGCTGCGAAAACAAATTTTATCGTATCAAATGATTATCAAATATAAAAACTAAAAATGTTTTTAAAAGTGACAATTTTCGTAGCCACAAGGTTTTGTTCCCAAAATTGAAGTGTAATGCAGAAACTCACGTATTTTTTCAGTCATCGCTGACGTCATATTCGCAGGCCCAGCTAAATCGACTGAATTAACAACGACAATGGAGAACTCGTACTCGGTGCAGACATCCAACTCATTGACTGTTTTGACAACTATATCTTCTGTACTATTTACTGGAATAGTTGTAGAGTTAGTGGGATCATCCCTTGGCCAATAAGTCAGGTTGTAGCTAACGATTGATGAATCACATTGGAGCCAAGATGAAGAAGGTGTCTCAGGGATCTGCACAGTTACGTATAGAAAGGTCAAAGGTTAACGATTGTTTATTTATTTACTTAATAAGTTTTAAGCATAATATGCTTAAAACTTCATTAGGAAACCTATATTTCAATGATTTCTTGTTGTTTAAGTGTTCTTATATAGCCTGGGAGTATGTATTCCACAGTTACTGTCTGCATTAGGTTTATATATATATATATATATATATATATATATATATAAGATCTGACATTTGGGAGACATTCCGGTGTTATTATACCTACTTATAGGAGACACCCAGATTAGGGAGACATTTTCGTGTCTCCTTTACGTTTCAACACCCCATACATGCAGTTTTACAAGGAACGGTGTCCAAAATGCTTCATGAATATTCATGTTAACATTGTAGCTCAATGTTCGCACCGTCCATTTGATACAAGGGTACATCAACTTAAAATAGAAACCCTTTCAAATATGGGGGTGTATACTCGGCGTTGATATAACAGTGCATTTGAGAGACACAAAGTTTATGGGATATATCTCGCTTTCTCAATCGTATATGTGTGGGATATTCATTTCTAAGATCAGATGTGATTCTAACAACGTAATAATGTGCATCTTGCTCATTATTTTTTTAAAGAAAAATATATATCCGTTATGGTGTGAAAAGCACCCTCTTTTTTAAGGTAGTTTATTCCAATGCGATATCGCGATCTTCGCACATGCGCAGTAATATATACATATATTTGCCGATAAAATTGTCTCCCTTGCACCGTAATATATAGCAAAAGGTGTCTCCTAACTACACCGCTACACAGCAGATCAAGATGTTACTAGGACCTCCACGAATGTAGCCCAGGCGTTGCCGCCCAAGCTTCCCGCGCCGGTACGGTACGGTATGCAGGCTATAGCAGCATGCAAGTCGGGACGGTTGTCTGAACTTCAGGTAGGCCTATAGGGTCTATATGTGGATATTTTATTCTTTTCTGTTAATCATATTCATAGACTACTTCTATTACCGTACTACTAGTCCTGCATATATGGGGCTGAGACACTCATGAGAGTGGTAGCCAATTGACTTTAGAGTAGAAAAGTCTAGACTAGATCCACTCCAGCAAAGCTCTTCTAACTGTTAGAGAGTCGACCCTGTGTGATTCTCATACTAGATCTAGTACGTCTTGGGCCTTGGCTTGGCAAAAAAAAATTCTCCAATTTAGAGGTCTAACAGTTAGAATCTAGAAGTAGAAGAGTCTAGTACTGGGTGTCTGATCGCGCACCCAATGTTGTGTGCTAAAACCCTTCCCATAGAGATTGTACGCTTCCCTATGTGGTCTACGTGCATTGCGCGACCATCCAAAATTGGTCAATGATTTTATGAAAAAATTTGAAATTCAAACCTTTATAACAAATGATCCTGCAGGTGAAACTCAATAAATGAGGTGTCATATGAAAGAGCAGGTTTTTCTCCATATTCCCCATCGGGGGCCACCCCCAGAATTCTAAAAATATCTTGGTCAAAATAGCGATTGAAATGTTGTTTGCATCCTAGCTCCAAAATTTGCCACTTTCCTGAGCTGCCGCCCCGCGGCTTAAGCAGGGCTAGACGTAAGGATAATATCCAGATGCTTTTTTTTTTGCTAGCCCCAAGGGATCATTTGTTATAACAGTTTGAAAATACCCTCCCACATTTTTGGAATCAGCTAATTAGGGAGGCGTGAGCTCCGCTCAGTCCAAACCATGGTTACATCGCGTAACATGTGCGCTTATAGTGAATGAAAGTATGGATGGCCGTTCCCACTATAAACCCCGGAAGTGAATACACGTTGTAGTCAATGGCAATATCGCGGAGACATCTCCGCGATATTGCCATTGACTATAACGTGCATTCACTTCCGGGTTTTTTGTGCGACGAACGCTAACCATACTAGTCAATGGCACGTGTCGCGGAGACAGCGTAGCTCAAGCTTGCAAGTCGCGCATTGGCTGAGCAACTTGCGTACGATATGCATACGCTTGCATATCGCGCGATACAGCTGTTTGGCTAAATTTAGCAAAACAACATAACTCTGCGTGTACGTCTTTTTCGTCGATTCTGAGCAAAATGCTATGAATATTTCAGCGTTTTGAAGGGGCTGTATCTTTTGATAGAAACATCGGCGAGACTTGAAATTTGAAATGTATTATTCTGATTACATTTTTAATTCAAATATCAAACAAAAATGGTGAAAAACGATCCCAAATTGAAAATTGAAAAATCGTTCAGACACCCTACTAGTACTAGTAGGTCTACTAGTAAAATCTAGATCTAGTAGTAGTAGGGGTCTAGACTCTATATCTAGATCTAGACTAGCTGATCTAGACTCTACTATAGGTTCTAGACCCTACTAGTCTAGATAGATCTATCAAGTATCATCTAGACCTAGGTCTAGATCTAAGTTAGATCTACTACTAGATCTAGGCTAGTAGTAGTACTCAAATTATTTGTTGTTGGGGGTGTGCCGCAGTCAGGGGCGTCGCTAGACCTTTTTCAGTGGGGGGGGGGGGGGGGGGGGGGGGGGGGGGTGTAAGTTAGAGACCACCGATTACCGACAAAACTAGCCACCAATTACCGACAAAATGTAATAATGTCCCTGTGTCTACAAATTTAACCCTATCAATACTAGTATCAACCCGGGGCCGAAGGCTAAATTATTTTTTCTATGAACTAGATCTAGATCTAGATCTAGTCTATCTAGAATCTAGATCTATAGTAGATCTAGATCTACTTGCGTATGCGCAAATTGTCATTTTCCTTGACATAAATATAAGAATTATTTCGTTAACTTAGTCAGTATCATAGCTAGATCTAGACTATATATTTAAATGCAGGCGCGTAGATCTAGTTTGGATCCTATAAGCGAATCACTTAAAGAGCGCGCAAAGGGCCCTCCCGCGCGAAGCTTTGACGTTTCATTGAATTATGAGAGAAGCAGACGATTAGTTGTAGTGTTCTCGACTCTTAATCCTTATCTGACTTTATAGATTACTTTATAGATGACTTTATAGATTCCACCCTTCCGCGCGAAGCGCGGAAGCTTTGACGTTTTTGAAGCTTTGACGTTTCATTGAATTATTATAGAAAGCAGACGCTTCTGTGTAGTATTCTCGAATCTTAATCCTTAATTGTCTGAAATCGGTTTCCCCCAATCGCGCGAAGCCCCGGTGGGGTCACTCCCCTGCATAGAGTGACACGTATGACCGTTACCACCAATGCATATAACCCCCTTTTGCGGTCAATTTCAAGGACATTTTGTGAAATTTAACCCCCTTTTTTACGTCAAAACAAGGACAAAATCGTACTTTGGAATACCCCTATTTATAAGATTGTAAGGACACTTTCGCAAATTTACCCCTTTTACCATATTTCAAGGACAAGACTCGGCTCCGAGAATTTTTCTTCCCCGTTTTCTCTTTTCCCTTCCCGGTTTTCTCTTTTCCCTTTTCCTGACCCCTATTTATCAATTTCGGGGACACATGTGCGCCCCTATTTTCTTAATTTCGAGGAATATTTTGTCCGCGGACATTGCTTGAAATTGACCCCTTTTTCCGCGATTTTGGTAACGGTCATGCGGTCCGGAAGTCACATTGAGTGACCCCACCGGGCGCGAAGCGTGGAAGCTTTGACGTTTTATTAAATTATGAGAGAAAGAAGACGATTCGTTGTACTGCTCTCGACTCTAAACCCTTGTATGAATTCAGTTTCCCCCAATCGCGCGAAGCGCGGAAGCTCTGACGTTTCATTAAATTATGAGAGAAAGCGATTCTTGGTACTGTTCTCGTCTCTTAATCCTTATCTGAATGAAGATTCCACCCTTCCACGCGAAGCGCGGAAAATTTCATGTTTCATTAAATTATTATAGAAAGCAGACGATTCAGTGTAGTATTCTTGACTCTTAATCCTTAATTGTCTGAATTCAGTTTCCCCCAATCGCACGAAACGCGGAAGCTTAGACGTTTCATTAAATTTGTAGTATTTATTATTAGACAATGAAGACAATTCGTTGTACCGTTTTCGATTCTTAATCAGCCCTAATTGTCCGCATCCAGATTTCCTCTATCGCGCTTCGCGCGAAAGCTTTGGAGTTTCATTAACATATTAGAGAAAAAGGACGATTCGTTGTACCGTTCTTGACTCCTAATCTTTGTCTGAATTCAGTTTACCCCCTCCCGCGCGGAAGTTTTGACGTTTTATTAAACTATTAGAGATAGAAGACGATTCGTCGTAACGTTCTCGACTCTTAATCCTTGTCTGAATGAAGATTCCACCCTTCCACGCAAAGCGTGGAAAATTTCACGTTTCATTAAATTATTATAGAAAGCAGACGATTCAGTGTAGTATTCTTGACTCTTAATCCTTAATTGTCTGAATTCAGTTTCCCCCAATCGCGCAAAGCGCGGAAGCTTTGACGTTTTATTAAACTATTAGAGATAGAAGACGATTCGTCGTAACGTTCTCGACTCTTAATCCTTGTCTGAATGAAGTTTCCCCCTCCCGCGCGTAGCGCGAAAGCTTTAGCGTTTCATTAACATATTAGAAAAAAAGGACGATTCGTTGTACCGTTCTTGACTCCTAATCCTTGTCTGAATTCAGTTTTTCCCCCGCCCGCGCTTGCGGAAGTTTTGACGTTTTCTTTTTGGCGTTTCATCACAATATAGAGAAAGTAGACGATTCGTCGTACCGTTCTCGACTCTTAATTCTTATCTAAATAATGTTCCGCGCGAAGCGCGAAAGCTTTGACGTTTCATTAACATTTTAGAGAAAA